TATCTCGGAGGACTTTATAAAACTCACAGATCAGAGAATCCAACAGTTCAAACACAGGAAATGAAACGATAAAGACCAGAAACCAAAGTCCAGAAATGTTATAATCTTTCTCTGAGTCACTTTGGAGCCTCTGCAGCGGAGTGTCCATGGTCTCAAAGCAAAACTGACACTGGTCCGTTATCAGCAGAGAGTCATTAGTGAGAAGAGAGACTCCGGTCTGTGTCAACGACCGAGAGGACTCATCTCTGACATCTGCACTTTGTCATGAAAACCTCTACGTTGGTCACTTTAAACCTGAGCGTCATTGTATCTGTTGATAACAATAAAAAAAATATCGCATCGGTTTTATAGATAGTAGTGCACTTTCATTATTCTTTGACTTGTTACCCCGTGGTGATAAACTCCTTTTATAGCCACAGCTGCCCTGGGGCACACTGACAGAAGCGAGGCAACCAGTCTGTGCCATCGGCCCCTCCCACCACCAACCATTCACACACACACCAGACTCATTCTAATGTGGGGGAAGTGTCTTGCCGAAGGACACAGCCAAAGTTTAGCACTTTACAGCCGCCCCACTGTGGCACCTGCTGTTCAGATAAGATAAACCTTTATTAGTCTCACAGTGGAGACATTTCAGTGTCATTGTTGCACATTACAGCAGAGAAAGGAAGTAAGAGCACTCAGACGCACACATCAAACAGTCTATTATTTAAGGTAATAGACAATAAAATTAAGATAAAAATAAAATAAATTGAGATAAACTCTGGGCTATAATTGCACTTGGTTCGGAGTATTTACAGATGTCTATATTATACATTAGCAGCGGAGAATAAACATCCGAAATAATATCAACAGGTAAAGTGACTTGAATGGGAGAATTATCAGATGGATATGAATAATACAGTGATAATAATAACAGGTAAAGTGACAAAATCACTAGAGAATTATCAGTGACACTTGTACAGACTTAGCAGTTCCTGTTACACATTCTCGTTGTACAGTCTGACAGCAGCAGGAAGGAAAGACCTACGGAACCTCTCCTTCACACAGCGAGGGTGAATTAGTCTGTCACTTACAGTTTTTATCGGTCGCTTTGGTGCATTTTTCACATCATTCTTCACATTTGCACAACTGTTGGTGCATTTCTCAGAACAATTAGTGTAAACTGCAGAACCTTGTGGAAAACCTGCAAAAGTGCGTCACTTTCTCAAAATTAAAAGTTTATTCCTCAAAAGCAAGTCCAAACGTCAATGAAACTGTCTATGTCGTCTAAATAATATGTCCTAACAACATTGAGTATGAACATCACAGTCAAATGACTTAGTCATGTTTTCATTGTGACGCTTCACTCTCTCTGTGTTTTCAGTGTAAAAAAAAAGTCAGATCTCGGAGACACTTGAGCACGACCATGAGCTCATTATACACGACCTGTGCAGCCATTTACAATAAAAACTACAGTAAAGTTACACAAAGACTGTATTTAGAGACGTAACTGACATTCTGTAACATATATGTATGTACTGTATGTATGTGTGTATCTATGTATGTATGTATGTACGTGTACTGCATATGCTCTTTGTATTTTTGTTGCACAATGCTGTAGAATTGCAGGCACATACTGTACATGTACAGTATATACATAGAACAAACATACAAGAAATATCATTATGGTAGAACTGTGACAAAAATGAACAATAAAGCATACCTCATGAGTGAAGTTGAAATTCACCTGAGATAAATTGTTCAATTTAGGAAAGATTTACAGGAAAAAAAAGATGAAGGAATGTATGAAATTAGCTCGACAGTTATGATTTTGAACTAGTTCAACTATTTTGTTTGTGAAACTAAAGCGATGAAATGAGGACAGTTAGTTTTATAGTGAAAGACTATTCAGAAGTGATAAGTGTGTTTCATTTTGACTGACAGGACAGAAGCAAATGATAAGGTTAAAAAAACGCCGAGAATTGTATGAAAGTTATTGATACATGAACGAAAGCATTTGACATGTGTTCAGAGGAGAAACTGCTGCGATGATGTCACCAATGACCCAATATTGTGGAGGTTGAACTCATAGTTTTGAGAACTTTAAGTCTGAGAAATGCACCAAAGCGACTGAGAAAAACTGTAAGCTGCTCTCCAGAGCAGAGAGAGTGTCCTGCAGGGGGCGACAGTCATGGTCCAGCATAGATGTTAGTTTGTCCAGGACCCTCAGAGTTCCCAGAGGTCTCCCATCACAGTATTAACCAGACCCTGCACTGCTTAGCTTCAGAGATCTGACGGGATCTGTCTTTTACATGCAGATGCGGCAACAAATGATTGATTATAAATGTTGACTAAATAATGTGGTGGTCTGGAGAGAAGCCTGGAACCAGAGTGAGACAGAATAATCCAAATCCCAAAAGGTGAAGACGACATTTATCATCTTAGGTTCTTTCCCCAAACCCACTGTACGCAAAACTAAATCTGGAATACTTTTATGGCCATATCTATAAAATTTTATCTGGACTTTGTGTAATAAAATTTGGACACACCCTCTCATTCAGTTTTTTTTATTTTCATGATTAAGAAAATTGTAGATTCACATTGAAGGCTTTAAAACTATGAATGAACTCATGTGGAATTATGTACGTACTAAAAACAAGTATGGAACAAATGAAAATATGAGTTTTATTCTGGTTCTTCAAAGTAGCTTTTGCTCAGATACTGCTTCACTCTTGGCATTCTCTGGATGAGCTTCAAGAGGACCTGAAATGGTCTGAGTTCCCATGATGCTTAGCACTTGTTGGCCCCTTCACTCTGTGGTCCAGCCCCAAAACCATCTGGACTGGGTTCAGGTCCAGACTGTGGAGGTCATGTGGCCCAGCACCATCACTCTCCTTATTGGTCCAACAGCCCTTACACAGCCTGGTGTGGGTCTACAGACAATAGTCATGAGAAGAAACTCAGTGAAGGAGAGAGGGTGTCCAAACTTTTGGTCAGTACTGTGTGTGTGTGGTATGTGTGTGTGTGTGTGTTAAGTGTGATAAATGCATTTGGATAAACATCTTGATCGTCTGATAATTTTGTGATGCGAGCCTGAACCAAGAAACAGGTCAAATCTTTGTTTTCTTCCCAATGGTACAAACATACTTTATTGTACAATTAATTTATTGGCAAAAAAAAAACAATCAGACCAAAATAACTTAAAAAAGAAACTAATGAAAATGGAGCAACAGTTATTTTTGCCTTCTCTCAGCAAGCACCAAAATTGTTAACAAGAGGAACATAAAAGTGGTCAAAGATTCCATCTGAATACTAAACAAATATTTAAATATTTCCAGTCTCTTTTTGAAGAAATGATAAAAACAAAATTGTTCATCAGTTGCCATCATTTTTGTACAGTGGATCGAGTATGTTTACATTTATATTCATGTACACAAAAGAATGGTAAATACTCCACAGCCTCCCGGGGCAAACCCAACGTGTCTGCGGCGTCCTTTTGCGTCACAATAACATCTTTAATACAAAACAAAACATGTTTTATCTAATAATTCCTGTAGCTTCAAGTTTTATTTCCAAAAAATAAAATTAAATAATATATCTATATATAAAAGACAGTTTTCCTTGTTTTTTCTTATAAAATAAGTCTCAAGATATATTGCCACCAGGTTCTGATGCCCACCCCAAACCCAGCAACCTTAGAGAAAAATAGTGAGCATGTGGATATCGTCTTCTCCGTAAAAAGCTAAATGACCAAATTTAAATAGTTCTCGTCACACCTTCCACTTGTTCAGTTTCAGACGCTGTTGTATAGAACCCCCCTCCCCCAAAAACCCATGTCAAAAATACACAGAAAGGCGCATTGGTGCTCGTGACCTGCCACACCCGCAACTGTACCGTTAGAAAACTCTCAACACTGTACAGCGCTGCGGAGCCACAGCGAAGATCCAAACGTCCAAAACGAGGGAAAGCGGCAGAAAATAACCTCTGCTCATAAAGTATACAGCTGTTTTTTTTTCTAAAACATCTTAAACTTTTCTATACAAAACAAACCGTATTTACCATTTCCGTCTTACTTTGTACAATACTAACTTTGAAGCGTGGCTGCGAGGTGAGGATGAGGATGAAGATGAGGATGAGGAGGGGGAGGGGGTTCCGGAAGCCTCTAAAGCATGGTGAGCGTGTGCGGCCCCTTCCCCGGTCACAGTATATAAACATTTTCTATGTACAAGCGCATTATCAACAGTTCGTCCTCGGTTTGTAAAGGAGCAGGGGATTCTGGGAGGGAGATGAGGGCGACACATTCAAAGGAGAACCGCGGATGGGTGGGGGTTTTTAAGCAGTTATTATTATTTTTTACAATAGAAAGAAACCGTGCGGCCCCCGTCCACCCCCGGAACACTGCTCAGGTTCAAGTCCAAACCTGTGAAACCGACCCCGAAGTGGAAAGTCTACAAGTGAATCGTCACAGTCAATATACAATGGATGGAGAACCAAAAGTGAAAGCCAAACGGAAGATATGCTGATGTTTGTGTTGTGTTCAAAGACCAAAGTAAAGTTAGAAACAAAATAGTTACTCTCTGCAAAAACATACAATCATAAGTGGGCTTTCAAAGAGGAAACAAAACCATAAAAAAGTTACGCTGCGTCAACTCACTTTAATTTTAGCCACATTTAAAATCTTAAAAATATTCATAAAAAGGCAAAAATCTCAGTCCCCAAAAATATTGTCATAGACCAAGGAAGAAACATCTTCAACCTGAAACGCTGCCCTTCCACCTTTTGTACACAATTGGCAAAAATATATAGATATATATTAACAGCAATAACTTACCATTGTTTTAATTTATTTATTTACTGACTTCAAGGATTCATGTCCATCTCCCACAGGAAGGAAGCTTCAGTTCTTATTTGTACATCACAAAAATATTTAAATAAAAAATTAAAACTTCTAAAACCCCAAACCCGAGCCTCCCCTGCGTCCCGTGGCAGTTTGTGATTGTGGCGGGTTCTGGAGGGGTCTACATCAGGTCCAGACCATGGTTCAAGTTCGTCCCATGGTCCTGGTTGTTGTTGCCCGTCCCATTACTGCTGCCCCCCAACATGTCCGCCGCCCCCCCCTGCCCGCCGTGCAGCCCGCTCAGCTGGGACATGATCGAGTTCTGTTCAGGTGTAAACTGGGCCGGGTCTATGGAGCCGGGGGGCTGCGGCGGCTGTGGGGGCTGCGGGGGGGCCATGGCGTGGTGCTGGTTCAGGTGCGAGGGGTGGGGGGAGCCACTCTGAGTCTGTGGGGAGATTCTGTGAGGGGAGGGCTGAGGCTGCAGGCGCGGGGACGGGCTGGAGTGAGGGGGCTGGGACTGAGGCCGAGGGGACGGCTGAGGGGACCTGACCTGGCTGCTGAGCGAGGCCCCCAGCCCCCCCTGACCCTGCAGGTGGGGCGATGGGGCCAGCTGCTGCTGTGGACTGAGGGGGCTGCTGTGCTGCGCGGGGGAGCCTGCTGTCAGGTGCTGCTGCTGCTGCAGGAGCCTCTGATGAATGTTCTGGTGCAGCATGGACTGGTTCTGTCCCAGAGGCCCCCCTCCCACACCAGGCTGCTGCTGCGCTTGGCTTTGTGCTCCTGGACCAGGGCCTCCCGGCCCCCCTCCAAGACCTCCATCCGGCCCTGGCATCCCAGCCATGGCGTTCTGCTGCTGCTGCTGCTGCTGCTGCTGTTGTTGCTGCTGCTGCTGTTGCTGCTGCTGCTGTTGTTGTTGTTGTTGCTGCTGCTGCTGGAGGTGCATTTGTTGCTGAAGTCTCTGCTGCAGGGCCGCTGCCACCTGAGAGGAGGCCCCCTGGTAGCCCTGCCCTGGGCCGGGCCCCTGTGGTCCCCCTGGCTGCTGCTGGGCTCCAGGCTGAGGTTGGGAGGAGGGGGGCATCCCTGGCTGACCCTGGCTCTGAATGAATCCCTGCTGGGCCTGCTGTTGGAACTGTCCCTGGCTCATCTGCTGCTGTTGTTGTTGTTGTTGTTGTTGTTGTTGTTGCTGCTGCTGCTGCTGCTGCTGCTGCTGCTGCTGTTGTTGTTGTTGTTGAATCTGTCTCCGCATCAGCAGCTCTCTAAACTGAGGGTTCAGGTTGGCCATGTTTCCCTGCTGGCCCGGCTGGCCCACCATTGCCCCCTGCTGCTGCTGCTGCTGCTGTTGCTGCTGCTGCTGTTGCTGCTGCTGCTGCTGTTGCTGCTGCTGCTGCTGTTGTTGCTGCTGCTGCTGCTGCTGCTGCAAGGCGGCGAGCTGTTGCTGCTGCAGGTTTGAAGGCATCATTGGCCTCTGCTGCTGCTGCTGCTGTTGCAGCTGCTGCAGCTGGGCCATGGTGGTCATGCTGGCCCCAGGGGCCCCTTGGTTCATGTTGATCCCAGGCTGGGCCCCCATCTGCTGCTGACCCTCCATGTTGGGGAGCTGGTTGGCCCCAGGCCCGCTCACACCAGGGCCGGGGAACCTGCCTGCTCCCCCCTGCGCTGGTCCGTTTCCCCCCTGGTAGCGTGCCGCCCTCTGCCTGATGAAGGCCGCCATGAGGGTGGGGTTGGAGCGCAGGATGTTGAGCACCTGCTGCTGCTGCAGGGGGGAGCTGGGCGACCGTAGCGTCCGGAGCAGCTCCTGCAGAGCAGCCTGAGGCAGGTTACCTCCTGCTCCAGCCAGAGCCGCTGCTGCTCCCTGCATCATCCCACGAGTCTGCTGCTGGTTCATCTGCTGCTGTGGGGGCCCCGCCTGCTGCGCGCTCATGTGGCTGAGCATTGGGGCCCGCTGCGCAGCCATAGGTCCTGCTGGCCCCCACTGCTGCCCTCCTCCCTGCTGCACCTGTTGAAGCTGCTGCTGGACTTGGAGAGGGAGCTGGCCTTGAGGGCCTCCCATCATCCCAGGCTGCTGGTCCATCATGGTCCTGCCCACCGCCTGTCCCTGGGGGGCCATGCCTTGAGGACCCATGTGCGACAGGCCCATCTGAGCCTGGGGGTTCTGGTGGTGACCGTGTGGGGGCAACAAGCCTGGACCCAGGCCCCTGTTCTGTGCCATCTGTCTCTGCGTCTCTGCGAGGCGCTGGATTTTGAGGGCCGTCTCCACAGCCGCCAGAGGAGGCCCCTGTTGGCCAGGGATGGGCATGGGGCCCTGACCTTGTGAAGGCTGCTGCTGAGGGGGGGTGACAGGTCCCAATCCAGGTTTACCCAGGGACTGGTGCATGGGTGAGGCGCCTGTGGACCGGGCGCTGTATGGAGGCAGGGCCCCCGGGTGCTGCTGGTGCTGGGGGACATTGGGCTGCTGAAGAGCAGGAACCATCTGCTGCGGAGGAGCGGTCATCATGGCCCCCCCTCCAGGCCCCCCCATGGGAAACTGGTGCATGTGATGCTGAGGGTGAGGGCCGCCAGGCTGAGGCACCTGTTGTTGCGGCGTTCCCATCGGCCCGAGGCCCACGCTCTGCTGTTGGGGCAGACCCATGTTTCCCTGCGTTGGCGTCTGTGGGGTTGGGGGTTGCGTCCCGACTGATGTTGGGGTCCCAGGACCTGTAGCACAGTTGTTAGGTCCTGGGGAGGGCAGGCCGTTCCCTCCAGGGCCTCCAGGGGCAGCCTGTCCCACTCTCTGCATGCTGGCCATCCTGCGCCGCAGCATCTGCGCCTGTTGCAGCCGGTGCTGCAGCTGCTGCTGCCGCAGCTTGTGCTTGATGTTGAGGCAGAAGGGGACGGGGCACTTGTTTTCCTGACAGTGCTTGGCGTGGTAGCAGCAGAGGGCGATGAGCTGTTTGCAGATGGGACAGCCTCCGTTGGTTTTTCTCTTGCAGCCTTTAGTGTGTTGCACCACACGCTTCATCTTCTGACAGGACGGGAGCGAGCAGTTGGCGTTCCGACACTGACAGGCGTGGACCAGGGACTGGATGCAGCGCTGGATACTGAGGCGGCGAGAATCCCCAGGGCTCTGAGTGGTGGCTGCTGCCTGGTTACTGCTTTCATCGTCCAAACCGAGGCCGAGCTTCTCCATCTTGTGCACGTGGCCCTTGGTGTTGTAACACGTGATGCAAAGGTCATAATCCTGTAAAGAGCCAAACACAGATCATGAATAAGCAATCGCAGCGACGCAGTGAGTAAAAGGTTTTGAACTTCAAACTCACCTCGCAGACCGTGCAGTGGAAGCGAGTCTCCACATGATGCTTGCATTCGTTACAAGTGTATACAAAACGATCTTGGCTTTGGTTATGCAGCTCCACCAACATGCACATCGTACTCCATTTAGATCTCCTGAGAGAGCTAAACTCCAGGTGTTTGTCCCGAGCCAGCGTGAGGAACGCGTCCCGGCCATCCATCAGGTCACAGGCCATCAGGGGATCAGAGTCTGAAATTGGGGGCAAGGCATTCGCCATCGGACCCGCAATGAGACGTATCACAAAGAACACCTAGACGACAGACAGCACATGGTCCGTGAGTACAGTACATAGTTTTAATACAAATACTGGTTGGTCAGTTAAATACCTCTTTGTGTTTCTCCATCGTGGCGTACAGTTTCTGCGACAGGTCGTTGGAGACATTGGGCATCCCGGGTTTCTTCTTATTGACTCGACTCAGGCTGCTCTTGTTCTTACTCGTCTTCTTATTGTTTTTCTTCTTGGCGTTTTTACTGTCACCCTTTACATCCTACAGAATATCCATGAGAAATGTTCTGGAAGGTTCTGGTTTGTTTCAGATACAGCAGAAAGTCACTTACGTCAATGCTTTCGTTGGAAGTGCTGTTCTCTTCTCTTTTTCGCTCCTCCTCCTCCTGCTCCAACTCTTTAATACTCTCCTCCAACACATTTGGCCAGAAATCTCCCTCAAAATAGGGCAATTCTTTAGCGCTGGTGAGGCGATCCTCTGTGGCTTGTTTGAAGATGTCCTTTGGGTAAAAGTCACATTAGAGTTGAATGATATTTATTTCCAGTTCAATGCACATAGATTATTAGTATCACATGTCAGTACATAGAAATTCCCAATAAATATTCATTAACAACTACAATATTGTACATGAGGAAGGAGAGGAAGGAAGAACAAACTTATAGATTCCAACCGCTGTGAGAATTACAGTTAGTAGTGATGGGGGAAAACTTCATTCTGTATCGCAATATTCTGTGCACACAATAAAGGGCAAAGTATTGTGATATTTATTTTTAAAAAACAAATCTGTTTCTCTGAGTTTCCCAACAACTGAGGTGTGAGTTCTTCTATGTGACTCTATGACGTCTGCTTGTTGTGACTCTATGATGTCTGCTTGTCGTGACTCTATGATGTCTGCTTGTTGTGACTCTATGATGTCTACTTGTTGTGACTCTATGATGTCTGCTTGTCGTGACTCTATGACGTCTGCTTGTTGTGACTCTATGATGTCTGCTTGTTGTGACTCTATGACGTCTACTTGTTGTGACTCTATGATGTCTACTTTTTGTGACTCTATGACGTCTGCTTGTCGTGACTCTATGACGTCTGCTTGTCGTGACTATGATGTCTGCTTGTTGTGACTATGACGTCTGCTTGTAGTGACTCCATGACGTCTGCTTGTCGTGACTCTATGACGTCTGCTTGTCGTGACTATGATGTCTGCTTGTCGTGACTATGATGTCTGCTTGTCGTGACTCTATGACGTCTGCTTGTCGTGACTATGATGTCTGCTTGTTGTGACTCTATGACGTCTACTTGTTGTGACTCTATGATGTCTGCTTGTCGTGACTCTGACGTCTGCTTGTCGTGACTATGATGTCTGCTTGTCGTGACTATGATGTCTGCTTGTAGTGACTCTATGACGTCTACTTGTCGTGACTCTATGACGTCTACTTTTTGTGACTCTATGACGTCTGCTTGTCGTGACTATGACGTCTGCTTGTAGTGACTCCATGACGTCTGCTTGTCGTGACTATGATGTCTGCTTGTCGTGACTATGATGTCTGCTTGTCGTGACTCTATGACGTCTGCTTGTCGTGACTATGATGTCTGCTTGTTGTGACTCTATGACGTCTACTTGTTGTGACTCTATGATGTCTGCTTGTCGTGACTCTGACGTCTGCTTGTCGTGACTATGATGTCTGCTTGTCGTGACTATGATGTCTGCTTGTAGTGACTCTATGACGTCTACTTGTCGTGACTCTATGACGTCTGCTTGTCGTGACTATGATGTCTGCTTGTCGTGACTCTATGACGTCTGCTTGTCGTGACTCTATGACGTCTGCTTGTCGTGACTATGATGTCTGCTTGTTGTGACTCTATGACGTCTGCTTGTTGTGACTCTATGACGTCTGCTTGTTGTGACTCTATGACGTCTGCTTGTAGTGACTCCATGACGTCTACTTGTTGTGACTCTATGATGTCTGCTTGTCGTGACTCTATGACGTCTGCTTGTCGTGACTATGATGTCTGCTTGTCGTGACTCTATGACGTCTGCTTGTCGTGACTATGATGTCTGCTTGTAGTGACTCTATGACGTCTACTTGTTGTGACTCTATGATGTCTGCTTGTCGTGACTCTATGACGTCTGCTTGTCGTGACTATGATGTCTGCTTGTCGTGACTCTATGACGTCTGCTTGTCGTGACTATGATGTCTGCTTGTTGTGACTCTATGACGTCTACTTGTTGTGACTCCATGACGTCTGCTTGTTGTGACTCTATGACGTCTGCTTGTTGTGACTCTATGACGTCTGCTTGTTGTGACTCTATGATTGGCATGTGCTGCTTGTTGCTGTGTTGCTGCTCTGCTACTGGCTCCAAACACGAAGATGAAGACACTAGGGCTGGGAATTGGCAAAATGTGATGATGCAAAAATAGTGCAATATTTGGGCCACGATTCAAAGTAATTTCACAAAAATAAAGACATAGATTTAACGACATTAAAGTCCCCAAGTTTTGACAGTTGTACATATAAGTAATGAAGTCATCTTTATTTATATAGCGCCTTTCACAGACCAGAGTCACAAAGCGCTTTACAGCTGTGGGAATTTGCCCCTCACTGCACACAGAGCTCGTTCAGGAGGCGTGCTTTTTTTTTGTACTAAACATACCTTTCCCCATAAGTGACAGGCCACGTTCAGTCAGTACCACTATTTTTACTATTGTTTCAATTTTATTTGTATTATTTTACCAGCCAATATCATACTCTCACTTTGTCCATTTACTTACATACAGATCATTTTAATTTGTGGCAACATGTCAGTGTAATGGGAGATGAGAGCCCTCCCACAAGGAAATGAATGTGCCTATAAGGTTAGCTTTAGCCGTTAGCTTTTGCTGTTGCTGCTGCCTACCTTGTAGTCGTGCACGATTCTCTCTGCTACAGCCTTGTCCAGCATCTTCTTATACCACTCCTGAAGGCGCTTGGGTTTGGGGATCTTTTGATCAGCAGGGTGACAGTGGAAGATGTAGTCATCGCCTTCACTCGGAGGACAAGCCCAGATGTGGCCCGTCGTGTAGCTGTAAGTGCATAGAAAACACACTGAAAAATTCTCCCCAAAAAGGTTTTTTTTCCTTCCCTCATTCTTAATAAATGCAAAAAAATGATGAACATAAAAAATATAAAGAAAACAGTGATGAAAAGTGACCAAATGTAACTTGCACTCGGTTCTGGTGGAAGTTTCACCTTGGAGAAACTACTAACAATTCAAAAGTAAAGTTATTTCACAAAAATAAAGACATAGATTTAACTACATTAAAGTCCATAAGTTTTGACAGTTGTACATATAAGTAATGAAGTCATTTTTATTTATATAGCGCCTTTCACAGACCAGAGTCACAAAGCGCTTTACAGCTGTGGGAATTTGCCCCTCACTCCACACAGAGCGCGTTCAGGAGGCGTGCATTTTTTTTGTGGTAGAGGAAACCAGGAGTACCCGGCGGATACCTACGTAGACACAGGGAGAACATGCAAACTCCACTCAGAAAGGCCCTGTTTCGACCGGGATTCCAACCCAGGACATTCTTGCTGAGAAGCGAGAGTGCTAACCACTCAGCCACATGTACCAGTAACTACCATTTCAAAACTGAAACCCGTTGAATTGACTGCTCTGGGAGTTCTAGTGTTAAATCAGTAAAAGAATTACGCTTATTGCCATTGAATGTACTGTAAATAACCGACTATTATGGTGAATGGATAGCTATGGCCTACGCAGGTGGACAAACGCAAGACAAAATATCGACACGTACGTCTTTCTGTGTGTGACGTATCTGTGACTTAACAAAGACTATATAAACCATGTCCTGACTGAAACAACTGAAACCTGAAGGAAACTGAATAAACTTCCAGGAGCTCTGGTGCGCAAAGATCCTGTGGTTAATCTGCGACACTGAGCCGCAACTTTTTTTACCACAGTGATTGCTGCGGCTTATACTGAGGTGAGGCCTAATTTAGTTTTTCTATTTGGCAACAAAAAACATTTTACCAAGTAACAGTAGACCAACAGAGTCGTTCACAGAGGTCCAATTAAACAGTATGATATGTCATCAGTCAGAACCCACTCAGCAACATGCAAAAAACACTAAAGGAAAGCATCATTTGTGTGGTATCAATAAAAACGGTTTTATAGTTTTTATCGGTTACAGGCACCGTTAGAAAAGAAGCATTTGAAATACATTTTTGTTTGTTACCGAGCAGATTCAAGTATAAAAGGTTAAAATTCCTCATATATATTTTCATCATGCTGCTCCTTATCTTTCTGCTTGACACTGGAAGATTACGAACAGTGACTCACTTCTTACAGTAACAACACGATGAACGTTTATGAGCGAGATTTTTCAATATCACAATGTGGAATAGTTGCGGTTTATAATCCGGAAAGTACGGAAACACAAAGTCACAAACTAGGAATTTGCTTTGGCTTGAGGTGCAAACAAGTTTAGTAAAAATAGGGAAAGGCATGCATAGAATAACCTTCATAATATGTATTTAAAATTAAGTTTAAGATCGACTCACCCAATTCTCCTCACGTATTCCAAATATCCAATGAGAATTTCGTGATAAACTGCAGTTCTTAGGCTTCGCGGTCGGAAAAAGTGCACACTGTCCAGATAAGAGATGTATACCCGCCTGTGAAGGAAGTAGATTCAGTTAGATAACAGACACATTTCATTCAATTCATTTATTTATTTGTGTATCGCCTTAAGTCACAACAGTAGTTCTCTCGGAGGACTTGACAAAACCGTTGAATTCGCCAACTCAGATCAGAGAATCAAATAGTTCAAACTCAAGAAATGCAATGACACATAGAGCCATCGGTCCATAAATGTGGATAAATATTGTTGAATCAAGTGTCCAGGATCAACACCTCTGTCCTTAGACCCTCCTGTATCGGCAAGAAATGTATCTCTTTAAAGCTGGGGTACCTAACTTTAAAACCACAACCCATTTGAACTCTCTGTAACATCCAACTAACGAGTTCCTCTGAAGCAGCTTGGTTCTATCACTAGTTTTCAGTAAGAACTCTTATCTGTAGTTATCCATCAGCTAAACGCCAAAGCGCCAAATAGTGACTCACATGGCTCTTTCTGCTTTTCTATTTAGTAGCAGACAGACAGTTGCTTTCACCTAACCTAATCTGTTGTATCCTTTATGAAACAAGAAAGTGAGGAACCCCGGCTTTATCATTATCATTATTGCCAAATTGTTGAGAAAATTATTCATATTTGAGAGTGTCATCCTGTTTTGCAAATATTTGTGAGGGCCTGGAACTCTCTACCTCTGTCTGTGAGAGCCTGGAACTCTCTACCTCTGTCTGTGAGAGCCTGGAACTCGCTACCTCTGTCTGTGAGGGCCTGGAACTCGCTACCTCTGTCTGTGCGGGCCTGGAACTCGCTACCTCTGTCTGTGAGAGCCTGGAACTCGCTACCTCTATCTGTGAGGGCCTGGAACTCGCTACCTCTGTCTGTGAGAGCCTGGAACTCACTACCTCTGTCTGTGAGGGCCTGGAACTCGCTACCTCTGTCTGTGCGGGCCTGGAACTCGCTACCTCTGTCTGTGAGAGCCTGGAACTCGCTACCTCTGTCTGTGAGGGCCTGGAACTCTCTACCTCTGTCTGTGAGAGCCTGGAACTCGCTACCTCTGTCTGTGAGAGCCTGGAACTCACTACCTCTGTCTGTGAGAGCCTGGAACTCGCTACCTCTGTCTGTGAGAGCCTGGAACTCGCTACCTCTGTCTGTGAGGGCCTGGAACTCGCTACCTCTGTCTATGAGAGCCTGGAACTCACTACCTCTGTCTGTGAGAGCCTGGAACTCCCTACCTCTGTCTGTGAGGGCCTGGAACTCCCTACCTCTGTCTGTGAAAACCCGGAACTCGCTACCTCTGTCTGTGAGAGCCTGGAACTCGCTACCTCTGTCTGTGAGGGCCTGGAACTCTCTACCTCTGTCTGTGAGGGCCTGGAACTCACTACCTCTGTCTGTGAGGGCCTGGAACTCTCTACCTCTGTCTGTGAGAGCCTGGAACTCACTACCTCTGTCTGTGTGGGCCTGGAACTCACTACCTCTGTCTGTGAGGGCCTGGAACTCACTACCTCTGTCTGTGAGGGCCTGGAACTCTCTACCTCTGTCTGTGAGAGCCTGGAACTCGCTACCTCTGTCTGTGAGAGCCTGGAACTCGCTACCTCTGTCTGTGAGAGCCTGGAACTCGCTACCTCTGTCTGTGAGGGCCTGGACCTCTCTACCTCTGTCTGTGAGGGCCTGGAACTCGCTACCTCTGTCTGTGAGAGCCTGGAACTCGCTACCTCTGTCTGTGAGGGCCTGGAACTCTCTACCTCTGTCTGTGAGAGCCTGGAACTCGCTACCTCTGTCTGTGAGAGCCTGGAACTCGCTACCTCTGTCTGTGAGGGCCTGGAACTCGCTACCTCTGTCTGTGAGGGCCTGGAACTCGCTACCTCTGTCTGTGAGAGCCTGGAACTCACTACCTCTGTCTGTGAGAGCCTGGAACTCCCTACCTCTGTCTGTGAGGGCCTGGAACACCCTACCTCTGTCTGTGAGAGCCTGGAACTCGCTACCTCTGTCTGTGAGAGCCTGGAACTCTCTACCTCTGTCTGTGAGAGCCTGGAACTCGCTACCTCTGTCTGTGAGAGCCTGGAACTCGCTACCTCTGTCTGTGAGAGCCTGGAACTCGCTACCTCTGTCTGTGAGAGCCTGGAACTCGCTACCTCTGTCTGTGAGAGCCTGGAACTCGCTACCTCTGTCTGTGAGGGCCTGGAACTCGCTACCTCTGTCTGTGAGGGCCTGGAACTCGCTACCTTCTGTCTGTGAGGGCCTGGAACTCGCTACCTCTGTCTGTGAGAGCCTGGAACTCGCTACCTCTGTCTGTGAGAGCCTGGAACTCACTACCTCTGTCTGTGAGAGCCTGGAACTCCCTACCTCTGTCTGTGAGGGCCTGGAACTCCCTACCTCTGTCTGTGAGAGCCTGGAACTCGCTACCTCTGTCTGTGAGAGCCTGGAACTCGCTACCTCTGTCTGTGAGGGCCTGGAACTCTCTACCTCTGTCTGTGAGAGCCTGGAACTCGCTACCTCTGTCTGTGAGAGCCTGGAACTCGCTACCTCTGTCTGTGAGAGCCTGGAACTCGCTACCTCTGTCTGTGAGGGCCTGGAACTCGCTACCTCTGTCTGTGAGGGCCTGGAACTCTCTACCTCTGTCTGTGAGAGCCTGGAACTCGCTACCTCTGTCTGTGAGAGCCTGGAACTCACTACCTCTGTCTGTGAGAGCCTGGAACTCACTACCTCTGTCTGTGAGAGCCTGGAACTCACTACCTCTGTCTGTGAGAGCCTGGAACTCACTACCTCTGTCTGTGAGAGCCTGGAACTCGCTACCTCTGTCTGTGCGGGCCTGGAACTCCCTACCTCTGTCTGTGAGGGCCTGGAACTCTCTACCTCTGTCTGTGAGAGCCTGGAACTCACTACCTCTGTCTGTGAGGGCCTGGAACTCTCTACCTCTGTCTGTGAGAGCCTGGAACTCGCTACCTCTGTCTGTGAGGGCCTGGAACTCGCTACCTCTGTCTGTGAGAGCCTGGAACTCACTACCTCTGTCTGTGAGGGCCTGGAACTCTCTACCTCTGTCTGTGAGAGCCTGGAACTCGCTACCTCTGTCTGTGAGGGCCTGGAACTCGCTACCTCTGTCTGTGAGGGCCTGGAACTCGCTACCTCTGTCTGTGAGGGCCTGGAACTCTCTACCTCTGTCTGTGAGGGCCTGGAACTCTCTACCTCTGTCTGTGAGAGCCTGGAACTCGCTACCTCTGTCTGTGAGAGCCTGGAACTCGCTACCTCTGTCTGTGAGAGCCTGGAACTCGCTACCTCTGTCTGTGAGAGCCTGGAACTCGCAACCTCTGTCTGTGAGGGCCTGGAACTCGCTACCTCTGTCTGTGAGAGCCTGGAACTCACTACCTCTGTCTGTGAGAGCCTGGAACTCACTACCTCTGTCTGTGAGGGCCTGGAACTCTCTACCTCTGTCTGTGAGAGCCTGGAACTCGCTACCTCTGTCTGTGCGGGCCTGGAACTCCCTACCTCTGTCTGTGAGGGCCTGGAACTCTCTACCTCTGTCTGTGAGAGCCTGGAACTCACTACCTCTGTCTGTGAGGGCCTGGAACTCTCTACCTCTGTCTGTGAGAGCCTGGAACTCGCTACCTCTGTCTGTGAGGGCCTGGAACTCGCTACCTCTGTCTGTGAGGGCCTGGAACTCTCTACCTCTGTCTGTGAGAGCCTGGAACTCGCTACCTCTGTCTGTGAGAGCCTGGAACTCGCTACCTCTGTCTGTGAGAGCCTGGAACTCGCTACCTCTGTCTGTGAGGGCCTGGAACTCTTTACCTCTGTCTGTGAGGGCCTGGAACTCGCTACCTCTGTCTGTGAGGGCCTGGAACTCGCTACCTCTGTCTGTGCGGGCCTGGAACTCTCTACCTCTGTCTGTGCGGGCCTGGAACTCGCTACCTCTGTCTGTGCGGGCCTGGAACTCGCTACCTCTGTCTGTGAGAGCCTGGAACTCACTACCTCTGTCTGTGAGGGCCTGGAACTCGCTACCTCTGTCTGTGAGGGCCTGGAACTCGCTACCTCTGTCTGTGAGGGCCTGGAACTCGCTACCTCTGTCTGTGCGGGCCTGGAACTCGCTACCTCTGTCTGTGCGGGCCTGGAACTCGCTACCTCTGTCTGTGCGGGCCTGGAACTCGCTACCTCTGTCTGTGCGGGCCTGGAACTCGCTACCCATCTCGCTTGCCATTAGTACAGGTTACAAGTGGAGGACAGAGGAGCCGTTTAAAGGCTTGTTTGTGGGTTACTAAATACTTCGTTTTCACTATAATTTGAACATACTTTTTTTTCATAGTTGAGGTATACCTATGATGAAAATTACAGGCCTCCCTCATCTTTTGAGGTTGTATATATTGTATCCATTCTGTCTCTTTGTGGTTGGGGGTGCTGCATTCTAAAGGCTAATAAGTCCATTCTATTTGTTAATTTGCGAACTGTGCACTCGCTGTCACTTTGCCTCTTCCCAGGAATTGCAGCTGAACATGAGCCTGATGCTATGTCCGATCTGTGCTATACATTTATTGTGCAATGTTCCATTCAAAGAAATATGAAATAACTAAATCAAACTACAACTGGTTTACCTCTGGTTGGGCTGTGGGCAGTCGGATCCGTACTCCTGAACGTGCATGCCAAAGAAACAGACTTCCGCCCCGTCGATGTCCTCAAACGCAAAGAGAGCTTTCGTCCTGTAGGGGAAGGACTCCGACATCTCTCCACTGTCCACAAATCTAAAGCAGAAACAGGATTAAAAACAAAAAAGATTATATGTTAGAACGCATTTTATCTTGTTTTGCTAAAAACACTTTCATTGTTCTTCCACAGTGCCCTTTTACATCTGTCATTTAATCACACAGCGAATATTTTGCGTTCAAATGACCACTCTGTTCTTTTTGCTCGCACAGTACTTTTTTTACGGTTAAAAATGAAACTTACCACAGTTGTTTAGGAATCATAACTTAATTTCCCACATAATGCAGATGCTAGCTACCTCATAGAGCTGTTATTCTGCACCCTCACATATATTTTTAAGATCATTCCACTTCCTGCTTTAGTTCGTCCATGAAATAAGTGATTGTTAAATAAATAAAAATTCTGTTCTACGTACAAATACATCATTTCAAGACATTTCAGATGGATGTTTTCTTCTGAATTCTGTTTATATTTATGCTTCGGTATGATACACTTTGATTACATTGCAATTAATTCCCAATTAGTTTTCAATACGGATTAGTCCCAAAATCCCCAGAATAACTTCCCAGGGATAAGTACCAGAAATGTTCCGCCCCTTTGCAACCCTACTCCTACATAAAACGTGTAGTTGTGGTAAATTAACTAAACTTTTAGGTCTAGAATGAGAGCATTGAGACGTCCTCATTGACATGTCACTGTTTTTATAATCTGTCATTTTATTTAATTATGTGTAACTTTTGGCGTTGTCCAGGACGGAAAAAAAAATCTTCAACTCAATGAGACTTTCCTGGTTAAATAAACGTGAACTAAACAGCAACAACTGTTTCCGTACTTTTTTTAGCTTGTTTTTATGTATGTACTTGTCTGGTGCACACTGGGGACATTTGCACATGTATTCCAAGGTGGTTTTACTGCAAATGGCAACTAAAGAGAATCTGAATCTCCCTGGGCGCGTCTGTACCTCGATTTCATTCCTGGTTTGACTTCCACCACTTTATCAGACACATGGACGACCCGGATGATGACTTCTCCGGCCTCTGGGTGGCTTTGTCGCTTCAAATAGTCGTTTATCCGCGTCTCCAAGTAGCAGCCGAGCTTTGTCTGCGGCAACCCTGACGGTGATGGACGAGGTTTGAGTTTTAGGACAGTATTCATTTAAAAGCTCTTGGTTATTTTACGGGTACTTACTTTTGGCTGAGTATTTATTTTCTTTCCGCGTCTTATTGGCCTTCTTCAAGCAGCCTTCACATACAAAACTGTTTTTTAAAGGAAGTGGAGTTAATAATTGTAAAAGTAAAAAAGTAAAAACTGTGGCCAAAGTGAGACTAACCCAGCTGGCCAGATCGTGTCGTTATGTAAAACACAGATCTGGTGCATCCTCCGTCCACAATCCATACATTCAACAAACCTGTGAGAAGAAATACACACAATGAGGAATAACGAGGGTTTTGAGAAGGTGCAAAAGGAACGGGGAGAATTAACTCACAGCTCAGGGTCCAGTGTGTCGTTCTTCTTCTTCTCAAACTGCTCCTTGTTTATCGATCTGAGAGAAGCAAAACATTTCATCACTTCCACAATCATCACGACACTTCTGTTACTTTATAACTTTGTAACCGATCTGGGGAAATGACAAATAAGTTATGATTCCATAGTATTATGATATTTGGGCCACAATTCAATATTTTTGCGATTCATAATTAACATATTGCAAAACAGAAATTATGGCAAAATTGCTGTATCAATTTAATTGCGTTCAGAAAATATCACAATACTGGACAGAAACGTTTTTCCCACCAATAGTAACTATGCTATTTTGTTAATTCATAACTCTAAACACTTTATTATTTAAATATGTGTTTACATACTTGTATCAGAGATGAAGTCGAAACAGATCATTTCAGTTTATCTAATGTTCAGCCCCATATTCCATTTATTATTAACAAATAAATGAATATTAGAATATTAGAAAATGATGTTTTTAAATTCAAATTACATGAAAGAAAATAACTATATAATATTTTTAATTTCATTTTAATTTTCAAAATACATATTATATTTTAGCACTCCCCGAGTTACATCTGTATTGTGTAATTGTTGCATCATAAATCCTTAATAAAAAGAAAATACTAAAAAAACGTTTTATCCCTCCTTTTAAAAACTACATTTCATCTTGTTTAAAAGACTAAATATTTGATTTGAAGAAATACATAAAGCATGTTTTAGCCTAAAATAATAAATTGGCAGGATTCGAAGTAGCACTTCAGATCGGGACTTTTTAAGAGATCTTTTGGCTGTAAGACTATTGTTAGTTTGTATGAATGGATGTGCTTCAGCTTCTGTTTCTGGACACCTGAATTTCTCCTACGGCGAACAATAAAGTATCTACAACAATATTGCTATCCTTGGCTGTGGGGAAAGAGGCACGGATAGTGATCGATTCAAATGAAGGCGACAAGGCTCCGGTACTCACGTCTGAGGTTGTGTGGGGTCGTCTCCGAGCGAAACCGTCTCTCCTTGGATCTCATTGAAGCACTTCTCACAGAAGTGGTACCTGTCAGCAATAAGCCCAAACTTTGGTGAACTACACCATGTCCCACAGTCAACATCAGACAGCGGCAGGACAGGGCCAGGCAGGCGGGCAGAAGCGGAGCAAGCAGGAAGGAGTCGTCATCACAACAGCCAGGGGTGGGTTTGGTTTGAGGGGTGAGGGTGGTGGGTGTGGGGAATGGGAGGGTTTGGGGGTGCATGGTCGGTCAAGGCAAAGCAAGCAAGCCAATGGTGAGGTGACATCACAGTCATCGGATGCAAGGACAAGACGAGCAACAAGACGGAGACAGGACAGACATTCAGGACAACACAGAGCAGAAAGTCGAGGCAGAGCACAAATTAGCAAATTGGACGTGAGAGGATGACACACAGCATTACAGCAAACGTAGCCAAAACTCTGGGAGCGCTACAGCGGGGTGGGAGGAAGTGGGAGGGAGGCTTCAGCACAAGACAATAAAGACATATGCAACAGATACAAACAGAAGGCGGCGGCTCGGCTCAGTCCAGTCCATTTACTACTTCAGGTTTTTAGTGAGAACTGAATTCTTCTAAATGTGGTGTGCTAAAAGCTAAAAGGTGTCAAAGTAGAAGAATCACTACATGAGCTCAATCCAGGACTCTTTCTATACTTTCTACTGAGAAGTGCTTTGGGTAAAATGCGCTATATAAAAAAGATGAATTACATCCTATACAGCGACCTGGCATCACACACATATTTCCCTACTTTTTTCTTACATATATATATTTTTTTGTTTGTTTCTGTAATTGATTTTATTTGTCCTCTATCTCTTACAATGTTTCAGGGTTCAATATTTTCTCTAGGGTATTGGTAAATGTTTGAACCATAAAAAACCTTCTACTTTGTATGTACTTTCTGAATACTATTCCAGTTCGGGAGAAAACGGTTTTAGACACTTCGTACCTGTTCTGGTAGCTAAAGTAAGCAGCATCTCTGGGAATAGTGCATAGCTGCTTTCCATAACAGCACAACGTCTGAGGAGAGAACTCCAGCTGAAAAGAGAAGAACCAAAACCCAATTCATATTAAAACATTCATCATTGGCGTCCACAAGTCAAATTTAAATCTCAGCATTCATCGTACAAATGTTGAAAATGCTAGAGATGCACAGATGTGAGAGACGTGTTAAAAAACTCCGTAATGTCAGCCAATGGTCAGAAACTTTTATCTCTGGCGCTAGTCATTGCCAGAAATCGTTGTTGCATAACGCCAAGTCACCCCCCTTTGAAAATGTCAACGGATTTACACATTTCAACCAATTAATATTACCATCACTTCTGGACTATCAGGCGCTACTTTTTTCTAGTTCTCTGATCCCTAGGGCTTATATTGCGATGCGGCTAATATCTGAATTTTATTGTCAGAGTTGAGTTTATGGACTTAGTATTTAATTATAGTTTTAGTAGCTACATACTTGTTTATTGTCATGGGTGAATGATTACTGTTAGCTTCTCTATCTTTAAATCATGTTGTGACCATCTCTCTGCTACATTACAACATGAAAACCTGCGGCTTATATTCAGGTGCGGCCTATATGTGACAAAATTGACTTTCTTTTCAAACGTAAGTGCTCCGGCTTATAGTTCATAAGCTACAGCAAAACGTTCACAATTGGCATCCACCACAATAAGTGTCAGAATCTCAGCGTTCATTGTCCAAATCTTAAAAAAGAAACAGTTGAAATACCAAAACAAGACATCTAGACCCACCTTCCTCCCACAGCAGTAGCCAAGCGACTCCATCACGGGGTCGATCTCCTGCTCAAAGACCTCGGCGAGCTTGGAGCAGTACTTGTAAACCCTGGACGTTTTCCGGTTGTAGAGCCAGGCGTTGTTGAACATTAGCCAGACATCTTCCACGTATTGCCACGGATCCTGGTACTGACCTGACCGCGAAAGACCAGAACACATGAGCAAAGGAGCTGCTCTATGATGGAGACGCACCTTCACTGAGCACTCACCTGTATCCAGTTTCCTCTTTATCGTAGACAAGTCCATAGGAGTTTTCACGATGTCAAAATAATCCTGTAAAAGGAAAATAGCTTGATGCCTTTTTTCTTGTTTCATTAATTAAAAAAGACTGACCAGAAAGCGGTGTTTGAATTTAGGGACTTCTTCACTGAACAGCAATATTTTGTATAGAAACTTCTAATAATAATAATGCATCAGTTTTATACAGCGTTTTTTGCAAACTCAAAAGACGCTTCACATTCTTTCACGCCATAATCGGTGGTGAGAAACTACTACTGTAGCCACAGTTGCCCTGGGGCAAACTGACAGAGGTGAGGCAACCAGAGTCAGGGCACCTCAGGAAGAGCTCTGGTGTTGTTATTTATGTACTTGTCTTGTGCACACTCGGGACTTTTGCAAATGTATTTTTTTGTGGTTTTATTGCAATATTGAATCTAAATCTGTACCTATGTGCGATCGGCCCCACCCACCACTCTCACACACACTCCCGACTTATTCTAAACAACTTGGGTGAAGTGTCTTGCCAAAGGACACAACCACAGTTTGGCACTTTACAGCCGCGGCCGCCCCACTGTGGCACCTGGTGTTCCAAGAGGTGTCCCATCAAAGTACTTACCAGGCCCTGTCCTGCTTAGCTTCAGAGGTCTGACAAGATCCGACTTTTGCATGCAGGTATGGCCATGTGAAAGTCTAAAGTGTTAAACTACTGTTTATCATATTGGACGGGTCTATATATTGTAATAAATAGTGAAGTTAATCTGTTTAGTGAATTTACAGATTAACACATTTGGGTTCGACTTCCATCATTTTAAACTTCCTCCTACTCCTTTTGAGCGTCATATTCTGAGTAGTTCTCTACAGCAAACTCTGAGGAGCACAGGGACTGGCCTCCTGCTGGTGCCCAGAGTCAGAACAAAACATGGGGAGGCAGCGTTTCAGATTTATGCAGCTAAAATCAGGCTTCTGCTCTGACAATGTTTAAATCTCTTCTTAAAAAATACTTCTGTTTAGCTGTGCATACAACTGAGGGATAATATATTCACTCTTTAACCCTCCAAGGTCTAGGGTCATTTTGGGGAACCTTCCTCGCCTGGTTTTCTTTGTGTATAATTGCTCATAAAAGAGTCATTTTTTGATGCAGAGTCAAGCAGTATACTTTTTTTTTTCAGTACAACCTGGGGTTTTAGAATAGCTATATTTTAGAGCTGTCATATCAATTATATAAAACATTTGGAGTCATGAAGACAAAGAAAAAATCAAAACGGAAAATCAATTTCACAAAAATGTATTGAAAAAACACAATGAAATGCTATAAACAACTTTTTACACTGGATAGAAATGTTATTTATGGTCTTCGGGATAATGGGGAAAAAATTTGAATCCGTAACTATTATACTTTTTACAAAATTCCTCTATAAATGCCAAAAACGCTGTACTCCTGATGCCCTTCCTCAAGCAGTTTGTCTATGAGGCTGTGGTTGCTTCTGTATCACAGCTGTAAAATATGTAAAACAAAAGAAACAAAGACAAAAAAAAAAAAACATCTAATTTATATATACAAATACATTATATACACATAATATCATTTTACTGTATTTATTATTGTCTATTCTCAATTAAGCGAACTCCTCTGGTTCCTCTGAGCACTTCTGCCTATGCTGCAACAAGTAAACACAGAGGAGTGAGCCATCTCACTCTCTGACAATCTTTGTCTGAGTCCCCGTGTGTGTAAACAACTTTACATGCGGCTGTGCCTGGCTCACGGGGCACCGCTTGAAGATCCGTTTGGGGGACTGACTTTCATACACACGTAGTTTATCCCCCGTATGTAGCAGAGACAAACCGAAGGCAGTTTTGGAAAGGCTGGAATGTGTACTTCACGGAGATAAAAAAAAGTAAGTCGCTAGCGTTCACCGTTCGCGAGTAAATTGATCATTTGTGAAACATGTGCGCCACCATCGTCGGCGATGGCATCGTCTTTTAAGGGTTAATGTACTTTCTAACTTGTTTTGTTCAGCACTTTGAGTTGCCTTGTGTAAGAACTGTCATATATAAATAAACTTGCCTTGCCATTTATCTCTTTTTGCAATTGGCCGACTGAGTTAAATATCTTGCATGTATTTTTTGCTCAAATAAATGAATAAATAAATATAGACGTACTGGTATACACAGTAGCTGGGGGTCGACAGGCATCCGAAAGGGCAGAGACTCTGGGTCTTGTCTGTACAGAGACTCCAGCGTTGGCATCAAAGCTTGCCTCAGTTCCTCGGGCTTAAATACTGCAAAGAGGAGGACGAAAAGTGTTATTATCGGAGTCAAACCTGCTCTACTCATATAAAAACATGTTCCTTACTCTTTTTCTTGGATGGTGCCTGTGAGGACTCCGTAGAGCCCTCCTCCTCCTTCACCTCTTTCTTGATTTCTGGTTTCCGGTCCTCGGTCTTCACCACTGCCGATATGGACATGCGAGTGGATGTGTCCATAGACGCTCCCTTCCCGCCTTCGTCAGAGCAGTCCTCCTTTAGCTCACATTTCACAGGCTTCTCTTCAGTTTTCAGGTTGCTGAGCTTGCCGCCTTTGGAACAGCTGCCGGCGTCGCTCTCATCCTCTTCGTCTTGCTGCTTGATGTCCATCTTTGAGTCCATGTTGGTCGTGGAGGTATCCGACTGTGGTTGCTGCGAGGAAGTGTCCAAACTACTGACGGAGGCTGGAGTATGAGCTTGGCTATCAGGTGGAAAAGAGCCCTTTTGGGACAGCTAACAAGAGAGACACACAAAAGGTTAGTACATGCTACATTTACTTTGGTCAGATGTTAAGCTGCAGTCGGGACACTGACTGGAGTGCGTGGAAGCTGAGAAGCATGTGACGTGGAATTGTTGCCTAGTCCAGGATGCGACGGAGTGGTGGACCCTGCTCCCATGGCCTGCTGAAGAGGTTTGTTTGAGCCTGGGCCCTGGCCAAGCTGGTTTGGCTGGGGTGCGGCTGGGGGAGGCAGTTGGGCTGCACTAGGGGTGTGGGGCTGAGGGGTTTGGGACCCAGGTATCCTGGGAGGCGTCTGATGAGGGGTAGGGGAGCGGCTATGTGCGGGGGAAGGAGAGCTGCCTCGCATGGCCCCCAGATGAGGGAGAGCGTTGGGTTGCTGATTTGTATTGGGAGTCATCGAAGGAGCAGGGTGTGCACTGCCAACACTCTGTGGACCCAGAGATCCCACTGTGGAGGCACCACTGGGACCCACTGAGCCTGGCTGTGTGAGAGGACTAGATACTGGAAGAGAAGGAGGAGTGCCCATCTGCGTCTGCAACAGGAGACAGAGGCAGTTAAAAGTATTGTTCATATCTTGGTACTAAAAGTGCTGGAGGTCCTGGTAATTGTAGCAGTTCCCACCTGTCCCATTCCTGCCGGTGTACCGGGCTGAGCCATTCCAGGTTGGACAGCACCCACACCAGGACCTGAGCCAGGGAACGGCCCTTGCGACATGTATTGATTTTGAAGTTGGTTTACATTGGGTTGGCCCATCCTCATCTAGAAAAAGCAAGCACAAATACTACAGTGGCATTCTTCGGGTTGTAAATTATATTAAGGGGAGAAAGTCCAACCTGATTTCCTGGAGCACTCATTTGCAAAGGAGGGGTGGACCTCTGTCCCAAAGTAGGCATGCCCATTTGATTGAACTGATTCAAACCTAGAAAATCACAATGAAGATGTGTAATCTCTGCATAAAACTAATCTAGGCTTCAGCTCAGATTCAAACATTATTTTACCTGGTCCTTGCAGCCTGTTCATCGGATTAGGTCCAGTGGCTCGCACCATTAATGGGTCAGAAAGAGGGCCATCTGTTTTAAGGCAAAGTACAACATTGGAATAAGTATATTTTTCATCAATCTAAACTTTAAAATTACAGTTTCTAGCATCTACTCACTTGGAGGTAGTCCTGTTGGAGGCTGACCCATACCCCCTGGTCCAAGACCCAAACCCTGCTTTTGGAGGCGAGTCCGTCTCTTCTCCTCCAGTTCCTTCTGGATCTTGTAGATCTTCTCTGCGAGCAGGTGATAGTACTCAGCCTGTCAAATCAAGGCAATCAACATGTTATCAATCATCCTTTCATGGCACCGAGAAAAGCCTTGAGCCAAACATTGTACAACATACTCTGGTGTTGGCGGATTCATACATGTCCCCCTCTACTTTTCGGGCATATGCCACAAGGTTTTCCATGCGCCGGTCCTTCAGTGCAGCAGGATCTGGAGTTGGAAAGATTGCCTGCACACTGTGAACAAAAGTAAACAATCGTTATAAGAGCCAATGTAAGTAGGTTTGTGTTGCCATCAGGATGAGTACGCACAGTTTGTGAACCAAGTGGTTTCGTAGGTCTTGTGTGATGTCCTCATGCCAGCTTTTCCTCATGCCAGAGGCGGAGGGAGGGCCAGCTGTAGGCATAGATCCAACCCCACTTGCATCATTCAGAAGTCTGGTCAAAAGAACAAAACACATCAACATTATTGTACAGTTCTTTGCGGCATAAATAATACAAAAAATCCTGAACTCCCCCTTACCCTTGGCTGTTCACATTTAGATGCATCATAGTGTCTTGAAGCAAGCTGGATTGCTGATTCTGAGCAGCAGTTCCGACACCACCATTAACTCCCATTGGATTTGGGCCTAACATTGTATGGGGAAAAAATATTAATAAATTTTGCATTAATTCAAAGAAAACTATTGTCGGTATTTCATATTGCATTACATTTTTTGCACAGCTCATTCACAAATGTGTTGCACCTATGACCTCAAAACCATAATAATAATGCAGTAGTCTAAACCAAAGCCACAACAACATAACACAATCCCACAGATCAACTCGGGTGTAGAGGAACTCACCCATGGAATTGAGCGGCCGCATGCCCGGCTGCCCCGGCAGACCCTGGTTGGGCATGCTGGTCTGGGACGTTTGAGGCTGGATCTGGTTGCCTTGGTAGGGCAGACCCAGGGCTTGGTAGGCTCGCTCAATAGAACTGGGGTCTATTTGGTTTGGAGGGTTGAGGTTGGGCGTACTGGGCTGACCACCAGGAACTGCACCAAGAGAACTGCTCAAACCTGCAGCAGCCCCCGCAAGAAGAGCTGTGAGAAACAACAGCATGTAAGTACAAGAAATAAAACAACAACTTTATGATTCAAGGAAAACTAGTCAGAAAAGGAGGAGTTATTTATAGTTTGGTTTGGTCAGATACAGACACTCACACTGCGGGTTCCTCTTGTCCCCAGCGTTCTTCAGCGGCAGACACACAGGACAGTCGTGTCGGGTGCAGTTCTTCCAATGCGAGATGATCTGCCGCGAGGATGCACAGTGAGCCACTGAAAAGGAGGAAAGTACAGTGAAACGTTAATGCAATGAAGGCTCATTTTCACAAACATGAGACGAGATTGAACTAACATTTATAGTGTAATTTACTCCATACATTACAGAGTATTTTATAGCTTCAATTCAAGTAACACTACCACATTATTTAGTTAAAATACTGGAAGAATTTGGTTTGCTTCTATCCCAGGCTCACCTTGACAGGATTTTCCAGCCTGGCAGTGAGTCATGTGATTGAGGACGTTCTTCATGGTGCGACAGTGGGGCAGGTTGCATTGCCGGACTTCTCCATTGGCCTGTTCCCGGCGCTGGCACTTGTGTGCATGCAGCAGCAGCACCAGTTGTTGCTGTATAAGTTTGCGCTTCTCTGGATCCGCTGTGGGCGGAGCTCCTGCAGCAGCAGATGCAGCTGAAACCTGGGCGCCTGGACCCACCAAAGTGGCTTGTGCTCCGGGCACAATCCCAGTGGGTCCTACTGGGGTACCAGGGGTACCCCCCAACCCTGCTTGCGTCTGCTGAGCCCCCTACAAGAGTAATATGTTTAAATAGACACAAATAAAAATCTGAAAAGTCAGATCCATCACATACCATAGCTGCCATTGATTGCATCGGGGAGTTTTTCTTATCCACACCAAACTGGGCCAAGTTTGCCATGGGACCTTTGTTCTGCATCTGAGGGCCCAGCCCTGCACTTCCCATGCCTTGGTTCCCTTGTCCTGCATAAGGACCACCAAAGGGCCCACCAGAAGCCCCCATCATCCCCATCTATACAGAGGGAAAAACAATTTAGAAAAACAATGAAATTATGAGATACTTTAGAACTGTATTAATAGTTAGATCCAATTCAATTCAATGTATTCTTGTATCGCCCCAAATCACAAATGTAGTTTACACAACCACTGAATTCGCCAACACAGATCAGAGAATGAAACTGGTCAAACACAAGAAATAAAAAAGAAAACACATTGGTATTGGTTCATAGGAGCAGAGACCAAAGTCCTTAAATGTTGATAAATGTTGTTGAATATTCCGTGTCCTAGATCATCACCACTGTCCTTTTGTTAGAACCTCCTGCATCGGCAAGAAAAAAAAACTCTGAACCCCAGTGGGAAAAGAAATCTCAAGTAGTGTCTTTCTAGTAGTATCGACAGTGGTAATAAACAAATACTTTCATGAGTCCCCTGTAGTTTAGTTACATATCAGTTGAAAAAGCACACACATATGTGCATTTTCATGAATAGATAAAAAGACAGATATATTTTGTGATATTGCCATGGGCAACATGCTATAATCACAAATGTATAGTTTACATTTATATATGGGTAACTTCTGTCCTAATTCATCCACTTCTGAAGGTACGCTAAAAATCACCTGTCACACGATGACAATCTTGCATGAAACAAACGTTAGCCACAGGATATGAATTGACACATTTCACAGATGAAACTAAACACATAATTGGACTGTCACGTGAAGTCTGTGAATCACTTATTTTGAACAGTGTCCAGAAGCAAGTCATAAACTCAGTGGCAATACTACTGCACCTGGGCTCGTCTTGGCAGATGGCAAAATAAACATTTGAGAAAGAGTTTTACGTGATTCTCATGTGCACCAGGACAGTGACATAGCCCAGCCCTAGTTTTTGTTCATAAATAAAACTATCACTAGTTGCACGCCCAAACACCTAATATCAGCATCTCCATAATCAATATTAAATAATGTTAACATAACACAAACTGAAAATACTGCACGTTGCATATTGCTTCCATGCATTTTCATGGATTTAATTGGGCTGACAGCAGAGTGTCCGTACCTTGTTGAGGGCTCCTGGTGTCTGGCCTCTCATTCCTGCTGCTCCCTGTAGTGTCTCTGCCAGCAGGTTGCTGTTGCTGCCCATGCCCTGGTTAACAAATCCCATGCGAGGAGATCCATTCACCTGGTTTGCCATCATGCCAGGCTGCTGTCCATTATTGGCCTTTTGCTGTGCTGCCATCATCGCCCGGTTCATACCTCCCATCATCCCAGCGTTCTGCTGCTGCATCAGGGTGGCCTGCTGCTGAGGAGACAGGCCCATCATCTGCTGAGCCCCTGGACCTGGTGATGCCTTCATGTTTGCTAAGTGCTGGCTCATGGCAGCAGGACCCCCAGGGCCGCTCATTGGATGTCCCTGTTGGGATGGAGGTGGGGCTCCTGATCGTAATAACTCAGAAAGTTGCTTGTGCTTGGCAACAGCATCCTGACCACTGCCTTGGACCCCTGCAGAGCCGAGGCCCATTCCTCCAGCCCCAGGACCCATGCCGCCTGTGCCTCCCAGAGTGGTGTGCAACTGGTTGACATCCCCACCGTTGATGAGGCTTGGTTCGTTTGAACTGATGAGCTCATCTGGAAGATCGTGCTCCAGGTCAAACAGCGAGCCGAAATCTAGAATGAAGAGAGTAGTTCAGGGGTTGGTGTGTTACAGCCATATTACACTGGTATGATCCGTGCTTTACTTCTTGCATGCATTTCACGTTGATTTGTAAATAAAAAATAATGGTCAAGAGGGATATGGTTCAGGCCACTAGTGAATGCATTCAGACACCCATGTTAAGCAATACAAATAAATGACATTTACATGCAAACGACCACAACCACACCTTATTAAAGATACAAGTTAGCCGTGAACATGTTAACCTTCCTTACGCTGCATGAAACTGAATTGTCATAAAAACTCTAGACAACATTTGGAACCACTACGAGGGCTGGTGGGACATAAATAGAGAAATATGATCGTTCAGACGAGTGACCAGAGGCACATCTGCGAAGGCAGGCAGATGTGTGTCCACAATGGTGTCTACTACACAATAATAAAGTACAATAATGACCAATGATACAGCTCTTGAGTTTTCTGTAACAATCTGGTGTAAGAAAGCGGTGAATGCAGAGTTTGTATTGTTATATTCTAGTAATAACCCAACTATCCTGTCTCCAAACACTGAATCTTGCAGGCCACTTCCCCAGATGCAGCCACACACCATGTACACACCATGTACATAACGCACATTTATATCTCTACAATAAAAGGCCAATCAGGGCAATGCTGTCCACTAAACCGTATTGCATTGCGTTTATTTATGTGATCAGGGGACGTGTTATGGTAAAGCAAAACAACACTGTTTTGATGTTTAGGGCCCTAAATCTACAGAAAGTCCTATGGTGTGTCAACCATTGGCAAGTTCTCTGACACAGCAACAGAAATAACCCATGTCAGTGCGTGTGTCAGAGCCAATGTGCTTTTAGAAGTCATTTAGATTCGTGGGTCAGTAAATGAAACCCGCAGAGCTCCTACTCGGTAGCCGTAGTTAGCGACATGCTAACCCCGGCTAAAGGCTGTTAGCTCTGAAGCTAGCTCTGGAGCTAGCTCTTCATCACGTCCGACACACTCCCTGTGGCTAACAGCAGCTAGCTCCGACAAAAACACTACAGCAATCCCAAGTATTCTCTGACTTTGGAGCCTCACAGACACAGTACTAGTATTAAATCAGCCAAACACAACACAGACAAGTCCTCAGTGGAAGAATACAGACCGTTTCCATCGCTGGCGGAGGCGGACAGAGCTGGAGAAGAGAGTTTAGGCCTTTTGGCTGAAGGCGGGCCAGAGTCCAGAACGTTCTCGGCCATATTTTTTCGAAATAAAAATATATAAAGTATCCACAATTGCAGATGTGTTCACGCCCTTAACAGCGCATTCCGTTTCGTTTCCAATATTGCGACTTTTCCCCCTCCTTTAGGGGGACTCAGAGGGGGAAAGTCCCGTGTGCAAATGACTCCTCTTCCCTGGGTTCGCCTCTCGGTTTCAGCCTCGGCGTCTATCAGCCCCCTCCTCCCTCCCTCCAACGATTTTTTGTTCTTTATAAATTTCTGCCAGCGGAGGAGGGGGTCGGTGAAAGTAAAGAGGGAGACACGGAGAGCCTTCCCACTAAACTTCAGCAGCCTGGTCGGGGTGAGATGCAGCGCGCCTCGTCCGTCCGTCCATGGTCCGCGATTAGAGCTGCTCTCTGCGGAGTGCATGGAGCTAATGTCGGGCAGGAGCGGCTGGTTTGGCTGCGGAGTGATGCTGCTGCTGCTGCTGGTACTGCTGCTGCTGCTGCTGCTGGTGCTGCTGCTGCTGCTGCTGGTACTGGTGCTGGTGGTGGCAGAGACAGAGGGATGCAAACTCACCCACTCCCCTCTCCAGCACCATACTAGTTATTACTATTATTATAATGTTTTTATTACTACAACGATTAGAGGCACGACACTTCTGAACTAAACAGTGAGCTGCAAATACTCAATGTTTGACAGGAGAGAAAACTTATGGAACTTTTCTTCTCATCATGAAATGCAGTTATTCAAATGATCTTCACACATAATCCTCACCATCACCATCATCATCATCATAAAGCTCATACCTCAGTCACTGTGATTGATGGATGACTTTTGCAGGTGTAAGCCAAAAAAACAGACTTACAGTTATCTTTGGAAACAATGTAGGGAAAACTATTTATGTTTTTAGTTTTTGGATATTTTCACTTCCTTATTTATTCACCATAAGCTTTGTTTAAATTTGTTCATTTGGAGTATAAGCAACTGTAGTTGAAACATCTCATTTTCGAGGGGATCCTCAAAGTTTATAAAATAGTAGCAACATTGTCTGATCTACATTATGAATATGTAATAAGGGAATTTAAAGAACTTCAAGCTCTTTAAAAGCCCTCTCCCGGTGCATACAGATCTCTTTGGTATTAAAAACAAAACATGGTGTGAGATTATTATTTTAACAGTGGTGACCTCAGAGCAGCACAGTGACAGCAGGTTACTCCCAGACAAAACTTTAATGTGCCTTTTTATTTGTATTCCTAAACTCGGGGCAGTCCCATTTTTAAATTTGGTTCCCATCCCACCCTAACCCAACTGATTAAACCCATACATTTGTTGTGCTAATTTATTTTGCAGGACATGTATGAGTGTTTGATTGAGTGCTATATTTTTTAAAACATAAAACCAATGCATTTTGAATAATATAAATAATACAATACTATTTATTATTAATAATAAAGCTTAAGTGGAAGTTCAAATTGGTAGACTCCCTACGTCATCGCACTAGGTCCACACTTTCCCCCAGAGCCTCACATCAGCTTCATCAACTCCTGCAGCCGCTAATCAAGCCAGTGATGAAACGCTGGACACCGCACACCAAACAGCCTCTTCAAGCTACAACCACCTCCTCCACCTCCTCCACCTCCTCCACCTCCTCTACCTCCTCTACCTCCTCCCCGCCTCCGCCTCAGGATTTCTTCTTTCTTCACACGCTCACATCCACCTTGCCCTGTTGCCACCACCAGTAGGGGATCATGATTTCCACTCAAGCAGAGATCCTCACAGAGCAAGACCACAGCCAGGGCCTGTACGTTGTAGCAGTCCGCTGCCACCCAATACACAGAGCTCCAGCCCCTCACTGATCCTCCTGCAGGTGGTGAGTCCACAGGAGGACAGCTACTCTGTTGGTCACATCACAGCCTAGATCTTTCAGCGGGGGCTTCAGGCTAAGTGGGGTTGAGTGTCTTGCCCAAGGACACAATGACATCAGATATCAATGGGAGAAGTTGGTGGAGAAGGTCTCATGGTGGGTTTGAACCCAAAACCTTCAGGCTCAAAGGCCAATGCTCTACCAACTGAGCAAATGCCACACATTGTAGTCACTCCAGATTGAAATATTAATATTAGGACCATTTGCTCCTAAGTGTTGTCATTGCATTTCCTGTCTTCAAACTGATTCTCTGATCTGTTGTTGGAAAATCACCATTAATGATAAAATAAAATGAGTTATCATGATGTCCTAATTTTTATAAAAAGATTTCAAACAAAACACTTAACAGCTGCCAACTTGTGCAGATGGCATGTCAGTATACGGTCAGTGCTATGGTCAGTGCTATGGTCAGTGCTGTGGTCAGTACTGTGGTCAGTACGGTCAATACTGTGGTCAATACTGTGGTCAGTACTGTGGTCAGTACTGTGCTGAGTACTGTGCTGAGTACTGTGGTGAGTACTGTGGTCAGTACTGTGGTGAGTACGGTCAGTACTGTGGTCAGTACTGTGGTCAGTACTGTGCTGAGTACTGTGCTGAGTACTGTGGTCAGTACTGTGGTGAGTACTGTGGTGAGTAATGATTCTGAAATGAGGACTTTGTCCAGGAGGATCGATCCCAGCAGTTGTCTTCATTTCCTGTCTGTTTGTTAACAGTAATCAATAAAACTATACTTTAGGTTTATTGACAGAGACTGAAGAGAAAGTGAAAGTGACCTCAGATCTTTGTCTTAAATGGGACATGGGGCAAAGCTCTGGAACTCTGGATGTCCTCTGCTTACACTAAACCTGGACAAAGCCAGTTGTGGGGCAAGTGTCTGACTGACTCTTGCCTTTATGTAATGTGAGTGTAAAATTGTAAAATTAGTTATTTAATTGTGTTGAATGAAAGTGCTTATAAATACAACATCTTGTTCTACTGTTGATGAAATGTTTAACTCTGTCAGCTCTGGATGTTCTGGACACGATCGCCCTGTGAAGGTTAGAACAGTAAAAAAATAAGCAGAAGGCGGTGTGGTCTAAAGCAGACTCAGTCAGGCCACACGAGAGAGAGAGAGAGTCAGAGGTCGAGCGGAAGTGGTGCATGTCCAACCTCCAGGTCAATCATAAAATCAAAGATAAGATAAAGATAAGTGTGAGACTGAAAGTTGTTGAAGACTGCAATCTATGTGTTGTTACTACCTGTTGCTATTAAAACTTCCGCATCTAAATGTAATGAGTTTGCAAATGAAATAACAAGGATCTTTGAGGTTACTCACTTTGCACCTGATGATAAAACTGTCCATGAGCTCAGCTGAAAGTATTCCCTGCCAAAAAGTCACATCTTCTGGTACTTTCACATTAGATATTGTCCAAGTCCAACACTGTGTCCTTCCCTGCAATTTTGTTTTAACTTTTTCAGTTCTAGTTCTAAGTCACTTTAGAAATATGGAGGTCAGCTCCCAACCCCTGGCACTGGCGCAGGGACCTTCTATAATATCTCGACATAGAAAAAATATGATCTGAGAGGTTGGCCCTCTCCAGGTGGGTGGAGAGGTCCTTCCTCAAGTGGAGGAGTTCAAGTATCTCGGGGTCTTGTTCATGAGTGAGGGAAGGATGGAGCGTGAGATTGACAGGCGGATCGGTGCAGCGTGCGCAGTGATGCGGTCTCTGTATCGGACCGTTGTGGTAAAGAGGGAGTTGAGCCGAAAGGCAAAGCTCTCAATTTACCGGTCAATCTTCGTTCCCTCCCTCACCTATGGTCATGAGCTTTGGGTAATGACCGAAAGAACGAGATCGCGGATACAAGCGGTCGAAATGAGCTTCCTCCGCAGAGTGGCTGGGCGCTCCCTTAGAGATAGGGTGAGGAGCTCAGTCACACGGGAGGAGCTCGGAGTAGAGCCGCTGCTTCTCCATGTCGAGAGGAACCAGTTGAGGTGGCTCGGGCATCTGTTCCGGATGCCTCCTGGACGCCTTCCTGGGGAGGTGTTCCGGGCACGTCCCACCGGGAGGAGGCCCTGGGGAAGACCTAGGCTTATGACTTAAGTTTGTTTCTGCATCCTCCTATTGTCAAGACGAACAGAATGGTAGACTCAAAGATGTAGGTAACAGAATTTATTTTAAACAGATGGTGGGGGGGGTTTGGGAAGCAGATGTAGATGGGTAGACCAGCCTATGGTAGACTGAGGATGATGGGAAACTGGACCTGGACACAGCAAGGACACTGGAGAAGACAAGGAACAACAATCATAAGTTGGCAAAAGTTAGTCATAAAAGTAAGGCTGAGCGTAAGCACCACTTCATGCAACAAAACAACTTGGCACTGGAGAGCAGGTCTGCATGGCTTTTGAATGCGGAGATGATGCTGATTGGTGCAGGTGTGCAGCTCCACAGGTGCGAGTAACGAGGTGTGTCTCAGAAAGGGAGGAAACAGGAGGGGAGGGGGAGAACAGGAGGAGCTGGGGGATGAGCTGGAACAGTACCCCCCCAACGGATACCTCAAGGTGACCCACCAGGCCTCCCCGAATGGGCCCTATGGAACTCCAGGACCAGTTCCGCACCAGGATGAGGGAGCCAGTTCCCTGCTCTCCAGACCCTTGGGAAGGTCACCACTGGGTTTCGACTCCTGCCCTGGCCTGCATTTTGGGTCCTTCCTCCTTCCCACCACGTGACACCTATAGACTCGCCTTTATGACAGGCCGGGTTGCTGTCAAAGTTTTACATGGGGATAATCACATTTAGTTTATTCAAAATGTTTGGAATTGTGAGCATAATTCTGTTTTGCCCTCTTGAATCAAAAAGTCGATGACACCAAAGACTTATTTTTTACCCTGTTGCTGTGGCGACGACAAACAATTCCTATTCATATGTCAATGGCAAATATACACCTCGCACAAACATCCAACCAGCCCCGGCCGTTTCACAGATTTGGCTGAAAATCACTCCACATCATCTCAACACATGCACCATCAACAGTTATTCATAGAATTTGGATTAGTCACATGGTCATTCAATGGAGACTGTATATCTATACAGTGCCTTGCGAAAGTATTCGGCCCCCTTGAACCTTTCAGCATTTTGCCACATTTCAGGCTTCAAACATAAAGATATAAAAATTAAATTTTTTGTGGGACACAATCGTGAAGTGGAACAAAATTAATTGGATAATTTAAACTTTTTTAACAAATAAAAAACTGAAAAGTGGGGCGTGCAATATTATTCGGCCCCTTTACTTTCAGTGCTGCAAACTCACTCCAGAAGTTCAGTGAGGATCTTTGAATGATCCAATGTTGTCCTAAATGACTGATGATGATAAATAGAATGCACCTGTGTGTAATCAAGTCTCCGTATAAATGCACCTGCTCTTTGATAGTCTCAGGGTTCTGTTTAAAGCGCAGAGAGAACCATGAAGACAAAGGAACACACCAGGCAGGTCCGAGATACTGATGTGGAGAAGTTTAAAGCCGGATTTGGATACAAAAAGATTTCCCAAGCTTTAAACATCTCAAGGAGCACTGTGCAAGCAATTATATTGAAATGGAAGGAGTATCAGACCACTGCAAATCTACCAAGACCCGGCCGTCCCTCCAAACTTTCATCTCAAACAAGGAGAAGACTGATCAGAGATGCAGACAAGAGGCCCATGATCACTCTGGATGAACTGCAGATAACTACAGCTGAGGTGGGAGAGTCTGTCCATAGGACAACAATCAGTCGTGCACTGCACAAATCTGGCCTTTATGGAAGAAAGCCATTTCTCAAAGATATCCATAAAAAGTCTTGTTTAAAGTTTGCCACAAGCCACCTGGGAGACACACCAAACATGTGGAAGAAGGTGCACTGGTCAGATGAAACCAAAATCAAACTTTTTGGCCACAATGCAAAACGATATGTTTGGCGTAAAAACAACATAGCTCATCACCCTGAACACACCATCCCCACTGTCAAACATGGTGGTGGCAGCATCGTGCTTTGGGCCTGCTTTTCTTCAGCAGGGACAGGGAAGATGGCTAAAATTGATGGGAAGCTGGATGGAGCCAAATACAGGACCATTCTGGAAGAAACCCTGTTGGAGTCTGCAAAAGACCTGAGACTGGGACGGAGATTTATCTTCCAACAGGACAATGATCCAAAACATAAAGCCAAATCTACAATGGAATGGTTCACAAATAGACATATCCAGGTGTTAGAATGGCCAAGTCAAAGTCCAGACCTGAATCCAATCGAGAATCTGTGGAAAGAGCTGAAGACTGCTGTTCACAAACGCTCTCCATCCAACCTCACTGACCTCGAGCTGTTTTGCAAGGAAGAATGGGCAAGAATTCCAGTCTCTCGATGTGCAAAACTGATAGAGACATACCCCAAGCGACTTGCAGCTGTAATTGCAGCAAAAGGTGGCGCTACAAAGTATTAGCGCAAGGGGGCCGAATAATATTGCACGCCCCACTTTTCAGTTTTTTATTTGTTAAAAATGTTTAAATTATCCAATAAATTTCGTTCCACTTCACGATTGTGTCCCACTTGTTGTTGATCCATGACAATTTTTTTTTTATATCTTTATGTTTGAAGCCCGAAATGTGGCGAAATGTTGAAAGGTTCAAGGGGCCGAATAATTTCGCAAGGCACTGTATATTAAAGGCAGTAAATTAAATCTCAACATATACATTTATAACTATTTACACATTTTATAAGCTAATTTGGCTCATGTTGTGGCATTTCCATCGGCTACAGCTCATCTGTGGCACCTGATGCGGCACCTTCTGTTAAACGGCAGCCTTTTGGCATCTGCTCTGGTATTTTGTCTATCATGTTCTGTCTCGCCGCTCTGGTCACTGCTGTGTCCTATAGATAAGACCACATTGCATTGGAGCGAGGCACACTTCAGGGACAAAATAAATATTTATACAATGATTTACCTGTATTTGGTTTGAACACGTGTTGCATAAGTAAGTAATTAAGTAAGTAAGTAATCTTTATTTATATACGGCCTTTCACAGACCAGAGTCACAAAGCGGTTTACAATTGTTATTATTTTTGGGCACTTGTCCTCTCACTCCACACAGAGATGGGAGACGGGATAATAACCCTCCTCCTCCACTCCGTCTCTCTACTCTCTGAAGTCATCTGTTCCATCTCAAGAAAACACATAACTCTGCGAAACCTGCACTGAGTATTTATTTTTGTAAAGTAATGTGACAAAAACTAATGAACCTGAACTCACCAGTCATGTCCTTGTTCCTCTTCTAACTCTTTGTGCTGTAATTTACTGTCCTGGGACAATGTGTAAGTGACCGAAATAAACTTCATTCATTCATTCATTCATTCACAAAGAGCAATCCTGTGAATCAAGCTATACCACAAACAAACAAACATCACATTTCCACAACGGAGTGTGCAAAACATATTAACTTTTGGAGTTTTTTATATAAAATGGATCCAAAGGGGATCCAACAATGCAGAACACAACAAATAATTTAAAAAAGGGATCAAACAAGGATCCAGCAAAAGAGTTACTTGTTTAAAGGGGATCAAACGTGAATCCGGCAAAATAAAACAGTAGCAAACATACAAACATCATTTTTTTTATAAAGGGATCAAACGTGAATCCAACTATGTACATATTTACAAAGTGAAACGTCACCAACAGCAGAACACGGTCTTGTGAATCCCAGCTCCTCTTTGCTCCTTCAAACAAACAAAACAGAGAGTGCATCAGTTCTTAACAACGGGAAGAAGACCTGTGTTTTTGGGCTGGATATTTGCTCTCCGGCACACATGACCTTTTGCGTTTGTGCTGATAGGCGTCCTTAGACACGGCCCGGTCCGAGGAGGGTCCCGGGATGGGGGGGGCAGGCTCCGACTGTGGGACAACAGGAGCACGGTTAGCTTTAGCGAGAGAAGGGGTCTTAGGCTTTAGGTACGTCTGGGAACTTTGGGGACGCACAGAGGAGCGAACCAAGAGTCAGTCAGAGAGGTGAGCTGGAGTACGCCCGGGAGGAGGAGAGGCAGAGCGAGGAGGAGGAGCAGAGGAGCGCTGAGGAGGAGTAGAGTAAGCAGAAGGAGGTGGATGAGAGAGGAGCCTGCCAGGATGCACAGTGCGGAGCCAAGAAACAGGAAGCAGGCGCGGAACAGCAGGAGCAGAGTAAGGCTTAGGGAGCTTAGGAGCAGAGCGAGACTTAGACTTAGCCTTGGACCTTAGTCTTAGCAGGAGGAGGAGGTGGAGGAGGAACAGATGAGCGAGGGGGCAGAGAAGAAGAGAAGTACAGAGAGATCCTCCTGGACAGAGTAAAGCTGGCAGAGGAGCCAGGCATCGTAAGAGTGAGTGAGGACTTAGCTACAGAGCAGAGTCCTGTGCACAAGTCTGGATGTCTGGGGGTCTAGGGGTCTAGGGGTCTGGAGGTCTGGAGGTCTAGGGGTCTGGAGGTCTGGCGGGTCTGGGGGGTCTGGGTGGTCTGGCAGAGAAGAAGCACAAGGATCTACATGTCAAACATGTCAAACATCGCTGAAAACACCTCACACACAGAAAGTCACTACAGACACTTCTTCAACCTAATATTAATGATGTCATCGAGATCTGAGAACATAAACATATGAGTTAAAGCTGGGGTACCTAACTTTCAAATCACATGAACTATGTAAATATGGAACCATGTAATTCTAGTTCTATCAGTGGTTTTCATAAATATTACATGATTTATGAAAACAACAAAGTCTGTGCAGACCTCTACATGCTGTTTTTCATTTGGTAAGATTTATACATGAAAGAAAGATCCCTGTGAGACACTATTTGACCCCTCTTTTTTTTATTTGGTCCTCCTTTTTCACTTTTCTAAAAGTAAATTAAAAGATGTGATAGAAGCCCTGTGAAAACTAGTGATAGAAGCAAAAATGTTTTAATGTTTGAAAGTTAGGTACGCAAGCTTTAAGGACAAAGACTTATGTCAAAACGCGCCGGCTCAACTTTATATAAAAAAACACAGCTCTCAGAGTGCCTCCTTCTCTATGTTTTCTTTATACATGAACTTTGTTGTCTTAAAATGTTTTCTGCCTTTGTAACCACAGATGTGTTCACGTTTTATCCCTAAGTAGTAATTGGATAATGGTTCTTACAGATTTATACTGAATTTAAAGTTATATCCAGTTGCATTTCTTCAACTCATCTTTGTAATTAAAGCTGGGGGACTTCACTTTTTACCCCATGAACAATATGTTGTTTGTCTCAACAACGGAGAACAAATGAGACAATATAAGAAATATGTAATCTTTGGCAGAAAGAGCCCTGTGAGCCACTCTGGGCTAAGAACTGATTGGCTGAGAGAGGGTGGTTCTCTCTTTTTCAGGTTTCTGTCTGAAAAAGCTGAGCTAGATGTGACAGTGGCCAAAAATACATGATGTGAAAACTAGTGATGGACACAAACTGTTTAAGACCAAGTGACATGGATTGTATTAGATGGGTCCACATCTTGTGGTTTCAAAGTTAGGTTCAGAAACGTTAAACGAATGTTGTTGGAGTAATGGGTTGTAAAAAATCGTCTAATTGATATAGTGTCATGGACGTGCAGGAGCTGACAGCACAAGACACTGATACATGTGTCTAAACTCACATAAACCTGCTTTAATCCAAGTCACTGTCAGTAACACGGGCCAAATCCATAGGCACTGAACAGGGAGTGGAAAGCTCACGTTTTGTGGTCAACTGTCTCACAGTCCGGACAGAAGTGGTCAGTAGGTGTCAGCAGGTGTCAGCAGGTGTCAGCAGGTGTCAGCAGGTGTCAGGAGCGGTCTGAGAGTCTCTGGTCAGCAGTGATGTCTCCTGGTGGAAGAAATCCTCGAGAGAAGTTTCACCAAATGAGTTTGTGTTGCAGTCGAAGTTTTGCGCAGATGCACGAATTCAAAAGATGCACTGTTTTTTATAAGATGCACTGGCCCTAGCAACAGATGCCCTTAGCAACGCGCACCTGACAACAAGAGGCACGTGCATGTGTCTTTTTTTTTTCATTGAGATGTAATGTAACTGTGTCCGTCATATGCAGAGAACGCCGCGTCATATGAGCTTCTCCTGTCTGAGCAGTTCATCTTCAGCGCCTTTAACGCACGGGCCCCGGCTGATCGTCGCTAAAACACTGTCAAACACCTCACAGCGCACGCTCTGTCAATTATCACAAAAATATGTGAAATAAGACCAAGTTACATTGAAATACTACAACAGCACTAATCACTTTCATAGTTATTCCCATTTTATTCTTTTTTCTTTACATATTTGCAGGTAAGGCTCGGCCTCACCTTCACTGAACGTCACTGCATCATAAGCAGAGGATGTCTGTAAAATATGTTTGAATATCTGAACATAAACACCGACATAAAGACAGGAGCTCACATGATGTGGACTTCTGTGGACTGGACAGACTTTAATCCTGTCTGCGCTGTGACGTCTCCAATCGACGGAACCAACGAGGCTTTTAAAGCTGCGGGGCACCTAGTTTTTGTTTTTAGGCCCGAGCCCCGAACGGGGAAAGGGCCTATTGTTTTTGCTCGAGAGATGTCAAATTCTGCACTTTGAGCCTTAATTTCACCCCCTGAACATGCATGAAAAGTTGTAAAATGTTGTCCAAACCTCAGACCTGGTGAAAAATTTGATATTTGGGTGTTTATTTTTATGGGACTCAAAAAATGCCAGAACAGCGCCACCTACAACAACCAATGGGAGTTTCAGAGGTCAAGTTTGTCGTAGAGCCATGAAATTCGGTACACATGTTCCTCAAGTCAAGATACGACCGAAATGTTATCATGGCCCCGCCCTCTGACAAACAGGAGAACCATAAATTTCAATGCAAAATGGAAAAATAATGTCGGTTGGAAAGCGACTCCTCCTCGGCCGTTTCACAGATTGGCCTCCATATCACTCCACATTGTCTAAACACATGTACCATCAAAATGACCAAATGGCCATTTGAAAGTGAAATAATTGAACTTGGCTCATTAACGCCAAATTCTTTTATTTCACTTTCAATTGACCTAGACCCTAGAGTTAAACAATGTATTAAAGTTTTGTGCAAATCAGACTTTGTATGTGCAAACGGGAGCAAATTTAATATTGTCCAAAACGGCCAAAAAAAGGTCACATTTTGCAGCTCCCCTGTTCGAACAACGTTTCACTGATGAAAAATCGCCGAAGTCATTTTGAAGGTACATGTGTTGAGATGATCTGGAGCGATTTTGAGGCGAACCGGTGAAACGGCCGAGGAGGAGTCGCTTTCCAACCGACATGTATGAAAATTATTGCTGTTCATTTTTCCATTTTGCAGTGACATTTATGGGCTTCCTGTTTGTCAGAGGGCGGGGCCCTCTGACAAACATCAGCTGCATCAGCTGCCATTAAAATATTGTTTTTGCTCGGAGACTTTCAAAAAATTCTTATGCACCTTGAATCTTAATTTGACCCCCTGAACATGCAGGAAATCCAGAATTCAGAACCGGTGAAAAATTAACTTTTTGGTTTTTATTTTTTTTGGGACTAAAAAAATGCCAGAACAGCGTTCCCTTCAAAAGTCAGTTTACATTGCGCCTATAGGAGAGGGTTCAAGGTCAAGTTTGTCGCAGAGCCACAAAATTCGATACACAACTCAAGACATAAAAAAGTTTTTATAATGGGCACACCCCCTGACAGGAAGCCCATTAATTTAATTGCAAAGTGGAAAAATGAAAAATGATCCTTTTCACCCATGCCACTTGGAAATGATCTCCTCCTCGGCTGTTTCACCGATTTTCATCAAAACCGCTCCACATCGTCTAAACAAATGTACTATCATTTTGATGTCGTGAATTTTGGATCAATTAAACATTGTTTGAGCAGCGGGGTGGCAAAATTTGACTTTTTTTCCCCCATTTTTGACAATAGAAATTTTTCTCCTGTTTACACAAACAAAGTCCAATTTACACAAAATTATCATCCATTGTTCCACACTAGAGTCTCGGTCATTTGAAAGTGAAATAATAAAACATCAAACCAGCCTCAGCCGTTTCTGTCATGGTGTGGACTTTCTGTTGATGTATCTGGTTTTATTTTGATATGTTTGTTCTCTTGTCGTAAGTTTTACTTCCTGTCTGTCTCGTTGATTGTTTGCCCCTCCCTGATGTGCTACACCTGTGTCTACCTGTATGTATTTAGACCCTGTGCTCCTGTCCTCTTGTTGTTGGTTCATTGTTGTTTTTCCCCCATGTCTTGTTCCCGGTTTCAGTTATACTTTTTGTGGTGTTTATTAAATTATATTATTTTTGCAGTTCTGCTTTTGGGTCCTTCCTTGTTTACCCGTGACAGTTTCACTGATTTGGCTGAAAATCGCTCCACATCATCTCAACACATCAATGGTTGTTTGGATTAGTCACATGGTCACATGGGGTCACATGGTCATCCAGAGGAGACTGTGGACACATTTAAAGATTATACATGTGCTCCTGTTTACACATAGAAAGTCTGATTTGTACCAAACTTGACTCAGTTGTTCTACTCCTGGGCCTAGGTCACCTGAAGATGTGAAATACGACATTGGGTCTTTAGCGCCTCCTACAGACTGAGCCCAAGTATTACATGGGGAGCCAAACCAACTGATCATATTCATTATAATTTGCCACCTTTGCGCGGTGCGGCGAGGGCCGTTCGACACTGTTTGCGGCTTTAATTTGACTTGTTTCTTGAAGCACTAGAGTTGCTGTGCTATACAAATAAACTTGCCCTGCCTTGACCCATCATGAGGATACGACTCCATCTAGTGGCAGAGGAGGGTCAGACACACGCCTTACTAAAAATGAAATTCAACATGAGACAACTGTTTTTGCTTCTTTTGATAAAAATACGTAAACAACAAATCAAACAAAATTGGTTTGAAATATATATGTATACATATGTTAGAATTTTACAAATAACCGTCTTTTCACTAATTTTATTAGCTCCGAGTCTCACCAGTTTCAGGAAAAGCACTACAATCACAGCTGTTTTCTGCAAATGCAAATTCCAGTATCTACGATCACAAAGTATATTTTTTACTATTTACTTTGATTTACATGTCAACTAAAGAAATCACATATCTACAGTGAGAAGACGGCGAGAGGAACTCCACTTCCCACAATACCTGGCTCCTGACGTCATTCGCACGCGCCCAAATTCAGAAGTGAGTCCTACACACGCTGGTAGTTAAAAGTCATTTTTTCATGTTTTCTTTTTTAAATGATTGTCACTCAGGTGTGTATTTACTCCGGACTCACCAGTCGCGGTCACTTGAGGAGTTCCGACGCTTTAAGCCGACTACAGATCATTATAAGAGCTGTGTTTACATGCTGTAGCTTCTGTCACTGCAGAGGACCATCCAGCTAGTTATTGTTCTGTTTCGTTTTGCTTTTCTACTTTCATATTAGACGTGTTCAATTCGTTGGCTCTGTATAGTTTTCGCCATAAGAAATGATGACGAAGGCACATAAGCTAAAACAAGCTGCCCCAAAGGTTACTATTCATTCAGCATTCAAATGGTATTCAATTTGATGAAGTCAAAGGCAAAGGGAAAACTTGGATAAAAGCGTGAGATCGAGGCATGAAATGTTGTTATTGTTGTATCCATTGGGTTCATAAAAAGTATAAACCTAAAAATATATGTTGCCATAGTGTGTATGTATGTATTAGTAAGTAAGTAAGTACATTTTATTTATAGAGCACCTTTCACAGATAAAAATCACAAAGTGCTGTACAAGGTAAAAACAGATATGTATATACAATACAAAAACATGAAAATAACCAAAAGCTGCCCTAAAAAGAAGTGTCTTTAGTCCCTTTTTAAAAGCATGGGCAGAGTTGACCACACAAGGATTTATATGAGAGATTTTGGATGCATGCCTGGGGAGGTGTGTGTCTGTTTGTGTGATATATTTACCAAAACTCCTTTCAAATATATCTATATAGATATATATCTATATATATCTATATATAGATATATATACATTTTTACTACTTTGTATGCTAGCAGTATTGTATACCTGCTTCTTTACTAAGCTATCATCTTTATTTTCAAGAACAGAGTTGTGCTATACTTACTGTTCATTTTTCCTGTGCTCCTCATTATGAAGAATGGATCGATCTTAATCTTAAAATACTTGACGTTGACATGAGATATTTTCATAATTGACCTTTCCTTTCATTGCAGTATTCACCGTTTGTGTTGCTAATCTTGGTCTAAGCCACGATGCCACATCGCTGCGTGGCTTTCGGCTGTGGTAAAACTGCTGAAGATGGCGTGACGTTGTATAAGTTTCCAAAGGACCAAGAGGAGTTTTCCAAATGGGAGAGGCAGGTCCAGCGCACCCGTAGGTCTTGGACTGCTTCCTCCAGCTCCCGGCTCTGCAACGAGCACTTTGGCTGGGACTACTTCATCCCTGGAAGCCAAAAGCTCAGGGTGGGAGCAGTGCCCACGGTGTTTGATAGTCCATTCTGTACTTTCTGTTATGGAGCCGGCTGCGTTCAATGTCTGCCATCCACACACTGCCGTACGACAAAGCCCACATCACCGGAGCCTGTGAGTATATGCACCAAGACATGGTCATTGAATACAGTGTTTTTAGTACTTCCTTCTCCACTTTGCTCATGATTATCATTATAATTATAATTATTATTATATTAGCCTAAAGGATGACCAGTGTGGTTCTTTCATCTAACCAGCTGCAAATTATTGGGAATAGTTGTGACAAAAATATTGATTCTGTTCAGTAGTGATGGATGATGATGCCTCGAGTGTATTGATATTGATATTGATATTGTGTTGGTTACTCAAGGGCGACCTCTACTATAGATGTAAAATCTCGACAGGAAAACAATATGATGGAAAAGCGTATTTGCTGTAAACCAAACCCAAATAGGTTGATATGTAAAATATAGAAAATCACTCGAGCACTCGGGCACTCGGCGCAGAACTGATGCACCAGTGTCGTTTGTCCCATCCCTCCTGCTCAGTATAGCTATATTTTTCTCAATGCGAAACAATGGAAAGAGTAGAGTAAAGTAATATCAGTTTCACTTTCATGCTTCTCTGAGTTTACTCTGGTTATTTACATCTGAAGTTTATGTTCCTCTGTATCTGCTTTTTGTGACTCTAGTCTAGGCTGGGGATATGGCACAGCACTGAGAAGGCAAACACGTCGGAAAAAGTGAAAAAAAAAACATATCAATACTCACGATGCGTCAAAGTTCTCAATATATTTTTTAATATCGATATATCGCCCGACTCTGCTCTAACCCGAACACTTCCCTCCTCAGTGTTTTTACCGTGCAGACTATAATAATAAAGCCTTTGAATGATACGAAGGACATGAATCGCAATATATAGCAGAATGTTAAGAATCCCAACATTTTTACTGATCCCCACCTCTTTTTGGGAACAACATACAAACCAATGAGTGCACAGCGCCCCCCTTTGGTCATATTTAGAGCAGTTAGTGTAACGAGTCTGATGGAAATGCTGCTGTGAGAAAATGTTTACATGACCCACGATAACGGCACAGAGCAGTTATTCCATGTAACAGGCTCTGGTTTCTTTTATTCACAGACAACAGCGGATACAGATAATTTTACTGCTTAAATTAAATCTATAATTTGATTTCATGCAGGTGTAAAAACTGATAATCTTTTATTTTTTTATTCTGATATTTTTTATTGCATTTTAAGAATACATTTTAGCCACAGTCCCTCCCACAATGTCCCCAAGAGAGATAGCATATGACATTTAACACAAAATACATTTATAACAAAAAAGAAAAAGAGAGACAACATTTAAAATAAAAAAATAAATAAATACATAAAAAAAGATAGAAGTGATAAATAATAAAAATTAAATTGGGTAATTTAAGTTACAATAAAATATAAATATATATAAAAATACCTAATACATGCACAAACATATGCACGTGAAAACTATTAGATATTCTGACACATTGTAGAATAGGGGTTGATGCACTGCATGCTGGGATGTCCTCGCTGCTCCTGGTCCTTTGACATTTTCCAACTCTTTTTTTTTGCGGTGGAGGAACCTGTGGCTCCTGGAGGGTTAAGGTCACGAACTCGCAAAAGAAAAGATAATATGACTTTATGTCATCACTTTGTCTTCATAGATTCATAGTTTTATTGACACTGAATACATTTCATTTTGTGGCTACCACAAGCTAAATGTATAGTATTGTTTTCTTTTTGTTATTAAATGTTAAGCCTGATAAAGATCATTTTAGAAGATTTTACCAAAATATTGTTCTTGACTTTCAAATTCTTGATTTCTTTTTTGATACACCAACAAATGAATCGACCACACGTTTGTCAATCATGAACCACACGTAGCTAATGCTATGAATTCGGTGGCTGAGTGGATAGCACTCTCCCTTCTCAGCAAGAAGGTCCTGGATTCGAATCCCGGTCGGAACAGGGCCTTTCTGAGCAGAGTTTACATGTTCTCCCCATGTCTGTGTAGGTTTCCTCCGGGTGCTCCGGTTTCCCCTACCACTAAAAACACCACAAACACAATAGGTCTGAATGTAAATGAGAGAGTGAATGGATGGTGTTGGAGCTGATGGTCCAGTGTGTTCTGGACTCGCTTCTGTCATCATCGTGTGTGGAAGGATTGGAACAATATCTGACTCTGAACATTGGAAAGTGCTTTGGGTCTGTACCTTGGTCTGTAAAATGCGCTCTATAAAAAAAAAAATACGTACTTACTTACTTACTATTGGGTCCAAACAGTGAAGCCGTGTAGTTGACGCTCTTAAACCGTAATCCACATTGTGCAGTGCGAGTGAATAAAATCCATGGAATAGTAAGATGCAATTAAAAACTGAAAAAAACACTCAACAAAACAAAAGGAAAAGAGCTTAAAGGAAAAAACTGCGTGGCTCCACTCCACACTTGCTTCCCCCTGGCACACCTGCGCCTTAACTAGCCTGGGCCAGGACTGAGAAAAATATAAAATGTATATGAAATCAAAATGAATCCATGCTTAACTTTAGCAATGATGATTAACAAGATAATTAACTAAATGAGATGCAAAATATGCCAAATAAAATCAATTGCCAAATAATCATAATTCTGCTCAAATCACAACAATAATGTATTTCTATCAAATAATAATACACACAAAATAGAAATGTATACAAATATAATCAAAACAACTAAACTTTTATTTAGGCTCCAACACGTACTATAAACATGTACCTTTCCAACCTGAGAATTCCTTTTCAGATGAGCTTTACCAAAAAGAAGCCAAAGGCCACAGACCGCACGATGAAAGAAGGAATAATAGGTTTGTGTTGGTTTCATTAAAGCAAATCTAAAAGTGTGAAATGTGTCTAAGCTGAAATGTTTTCTTTTGTAGCGACGTGTGAAATGTGTGAAAGCATCGGTGACATCCAAACCTTTTACTCCAAAACCAAACGCTTCTGCAGCGCGTCCTGCTCCCGCTCCTTTTCCTCCAACTCTAAGAGGTCTTCAATTTTGGCTCAACTCCAGGTAAAAGTCCCATTTCTACTTGTTTTCCAAAAGCCAAACTTAATATTCAACTCTCTGCGGATTCTCTTTGTTGAATACAGTACAGTGTCGTTTCTCAAACACGTACACTTTCGTCAATGTGGGTTTAGATCTGCCAAAACTCCCCAAAATCCCCAATGTATCAGTCACTCATCAAATGGCAGTTGATTAATCGTCAATATTATGACGGGCGGAGCAGTGGCGCAGTGGTTAGCGCTCGTGCCTCACAGCTAGAAGGTCCTGCTCCGGTTTACCCTGCCACTAAAAACACATACAATAGATCTGGCCTGCTCCTCCTGTGGGTGACCTGCTCCAATCTCTGTGTGGAGTGAGGGGACCAGTGCTTTGTGACTCTGGTCTGTGAAAGGCGCTATAAGGTGGCTGAGTGGCTCTGGCTTCTCAGCAAGAAGGTCCTGGGTTCGATTTAAATAATTATATGTTTCACTTTTGTGTTTTCTCTGAGTTTACTTTGGTAATTTCTCATCTGAGGTGTGTGTGACTCTATGATATCTGCTTGTTGTGACTCTATGACGTCTGCTTGTCGTGACTCTATTTATTTATTTATTTATTGATTTATTTGATAGGGACAAGTGAACACAATCAATATGTGAAACACTACAACATTTATAGCCAAGGCTAGTTTGCAATGTCCGTCCCTAGGAGGGCTTTTAACACAATTAAAATGTTAGGATTTAGGCAGACAGAGACGGATCGTGGTGTGCCAAACTCTGGAAGTTTATTTACGTTTCTCTCAAGTTCCACTGGTTTACTCTGTTTCTTTCCCTCAGACAGAATAAAGGCAGTACACAGTTTATATAGTCATTGTCACGTCACACATCGAAAGACATACGTGTCACAAAGAGACAGTCACATCATAGTCATAACATGGAGTCCTTGTAGAGTCCTTGTACAGTCCTGCATTAGGCCATATTGCTATCTAATACTAATACCCTCCCCTTTGATCACATAATCACATGTGATCATTCAAATCGATCAATCAATAAAATGGAAAAAGAAAAAAAAAATTCCAAAAAAAACTTCAAAAAATTATTAAAAACAAAGAAAATGTATGCATTAAACTCATAATCATCAAATCAATATCAGTGGATTTTATCCTCTATCCTGGGAAAAAATAAACAAACAAAAATAAAGTAAATAAACAAACAAAAAACAAATCAAAAATAAAAAACAAACAAACACTATTGGACACACAAGAACTCAGCAGATTCAGTCAAAACACAGACAAAAACGAGATGAGTCTCAAATTTGAAGCTAATTTCACTTTTATTACTCTATACTTTTATTCTAATGACAATTGTTTACACTACACTTCACTTATTTCACTGTATTATTTTCACTTTTCAATCTTAGACTGTGTACTTTACTTTCACTATAGTTTAAAACTATTCTAATCTATTCACAAATATGTTTGCATATTTGATTCTATTGAGCCATATTCTTAAACATACATTTTAATCTAATAAATCTCTCTGTGGTATTATACTCTAATTATCAGTGGCTTATTGTTAGTGGGATTTTGCTCCATGTCTATTCTCATTCTCAGGAATAAAACTGTGAACACAGTAAGGCAAATGGTCAACATTTACACTTCTATAGTGGTCAGTGATTTATTACTTTTTATAAGAGCTAATCTATTTTAGCATGTTTGGGGTTGGGGTCAGTAATTCTACAATGGTATTTGATTCTCTAATCTGTGCTGATGAATCTACAGCTTTTTAAACTTCTCAAAGATATCCAAATATCTAAATATCTACTATTGTGTTTTTGTGCTATACACAAATACATCAAAATGCTTTTAAATGCTTTTGAATCTCTGTTGGTGCTAATCTATCTCATTGATCTAGGCATTAATCTAGGCTACACTCATATGGACTTTTGCATAGTCAACATTCACTCATGTGTGCACACAAGTGAATTTGGAAGGTATCTAATAAAACTGTACATAAAACTGTAATGAACTTTATCTACTTTTGAAGTAAATGCTTGTGAAATGGTCCCTTTACCATTTGATATTAGCACTGGCTAAGAATATTCTCTATTTTTGAAAGCATCTATGGTTGATGCATTTATCTATTCCTATTTCTACACTATTGTGACTCTAAAGTTTGGCTGCAGTTTGAGCAAAGGCATATTCCTAATTTGTGACTTCTGTCACTTTTAATATCTCTAACATAACTCTGATTCTAATATTCTAGCTGATCTATCAAAAGGATAACATTGTAGGGTACTATTTTAACTCTTACGTGGAAATATGTTTATGAACAACAAAGGAAGGACAATTCTACTTTTTTAACATTTACTAAAACGCTACAATACTCATACTTTATCATTTTCAAAGTTTTTGTCTGTCAGATGTCTGAATACTTAACATGTATATTGCATTTGTCACAGGTTCTGGTTTTAGCAATAGCATCGGCAATAGACGTTTTTTCATTGGCTGGTTCTTGTTCTGCAAATGGCTGTGTCCAATAGATCATCAGATGTCCAGAAGCTAGGGACAAACAAAAACAAAAGAAAGAATCATGAGTATCTGTCTCATTTAGCACTCATCTATGTATGATTTCAAAAATATAAACATCACTCCCCAGTTTTCTCTCTCAGATCCTCAGGGTCCTCAGGGTCCCCTGAGGGTGAGTCTCAGTCGTCATCAGGTCAGGTCATCTTGGACATCAGTAGGGTCCAAGCCATGGTTCTGGTTCTGGTCTCCAGATAGAACATCAGATCTCCAGATACAGTCTTTTCAGTTGAAGCACATCAGGTCATTTGCGATGCACTTCTGGTCAATGGTGCAGTGTCTCAGTTCCTGTACACAGCTTGTAATGCAATAGTTACTCTCTATGGTTAATCACTTTGATTCTACTTTAACACAATTTCTATTCATGCTGTTGCTAATGTCTCTCAGACAAAAGCAAGCGCAGTTTACTTCTCTAATTTGTGTTTTTATCAGATCTAATTCTAATCAATGTAATTACTTCACACAGTACAAAATCAACAAATCAAAAGTGTCAGGACAGAGGTCAATTAGTCCATGACAATATAGAATTCAAATGAACATTTCTGGTCTCAAAAAATACTGATTCAACTAAAGATTCAAGTGATAGACAATTAAAAATATGTGTTTACATTGGAGTAAACTTTTAAAATGCTTTTTTCATGTTCTGCTTTTTCATGTATCTATATGTAAATGTGAATGTGTGAGTGTATGTGTGTGTATGTGTGTATGTGTGTGAATTTTGGGGTTGTTTCTCAAGACTCCTCGAACCACCTGTAGGTCTCAAAGGTCACACTGTGGTGATGTAAACCACGTAGACACACTTTCAACTCCCTCTAGGTCTCTACCTGACGCTCCACCCATCACGTCTCCAGATACCTCTCTTTCATGGCCCCGGTCTCTCTCACTCCCACTCAGTTCTGCAGTGGCGTGGGGAGGGGCAAGGAGGTGGCATTTTCCTTTGCTCTTTGATCTGTGACCTGTGGCTGGGTGGGCGTTGCGCTGTCCAGTGTCCAGCAGTCCAGTGACCCTGTACAGTGTGTGCTCTTGGTTCTGGAAAACAACCTTATAGTCAAATTAAAAACAACAGAGATTGTGAATGAGATTGTTTTTCTCTCTGAAGTCAAAACAATTTGAGCGCTCTGGGTTTTCCCAAGCGCTATGTAAATAAAGATTACTTATTCTCTTACTAATGATGACATTTTAAAACCAGAAACTAAAGAAGTTATCAAAACAACAATTATACTCAAAACAAACAACCTTTTAAACTTAAAACATGTATTATATACTTTTGTACTGTGTGATTAATTATCTATGCGTCCTTGGGTTTCTTGAAAGACGCCATGAAATGAAATTATGAAAAATCTCTATAAAAATGAACATTAATTTGTAAAAACATTTAAAACAAAACTTGAAATCAAACAAAAGATTTAGCTCCAGCTAAACTGGATTTGGTTCAATAAAACTCAATTGTGCGTCGGAGCTGCCTCCTCATGTCTCTGAGCAGCAGCAAGGTCACGCGTGTAGTCAAAACAAAAACAAAAGTCACCGCTTGAATGTGAATTGGGTGAATTGGGTAGTTTAACTTAATAATATAATACTTTTACAGCCTAATTCCCTCTTTCTTTTTTAGACGAAGTCTACAATCATTAATCACTTTTAACAGATTCTAATTTAAATGTTTGAAAAACGGCTTTTGTAACTAAAATAAAAACATAAAAAAAAATTCTCACTAACAGCTATGAAATATCAGATACAATAATGGACTCACAAAATAAGCAGCAGATTTAAAAAGAAAAGCAAAGCTTTTTGTACTAATCTTTGGGTTTCAAAAACATACTAATTCAAAACTTCTATTCACTAATGGTGTTTAAAACGTTTAACTGTGTCTAACACAATGTTCAAATGGCAAATTTAGCAAATTTAACGGAATAACTACTATGAAAAGCCAAATTCCTAAAGCAGTAGCTTTGCTTCAGATTCACAGCCAGAGCAGCGAAGGAGGGGGCCGTTTCCCTGACAACGGCAGCAGATAGAGCGACGCACACACACAGGCAAAAAGATACAGAAGAATAACTTTCAAGATTACTTTGTTAAGCGAATATAACTGATGTTGTTCTTTATACTTTTGTCATCCAAATCTAGAAGTGATCACTTTCCACACTAGTAACAAAAGGCACTCTTGTCTTTAACGTTTACGCTTCTATTTTATCGAGGTAGCAAACTAATTTAAACTTAAAATCTCTTTCTAAAAAACAAAAACAACTGTTGGATACAACCCTCTCATAGCTCAACTGTAGATAAAACTCGGCAAAAAATGTAAATAACTCACGAAAGCTCTCATAGCTCAACTTTAGATAAAACTCTGTATTCTCCGGTGAACTCTGTTCACTCCAAAAACAAAAACTCCCTTTTTCTGTATGTAATTTAAACCGTGATCACTGAAATATTGTTGCTTATGTACTTTTGT